CTGCGACCGGGCCAGGGGGCCCCTATAGACGCAGTTGATCCTGAAACTCGAGTAAACAATCACGCAAGGGGCCTGTGCGCAGCGCATGTCCGTTTTAATGCAGCGGTCGGCGCAGGCGCAGCTCGACCTTGACTCAACGAGCACATCACGATCGGACAACTATACAACTAGTTTTGAAAAGAACTTTAAAAAGACCCGTCTTTCTTGAGCAGTCAGATTGGTTGAAAAGAAATTCTTTTTGGACATACAATTCAGGCGTGTGCTGAAAGAAAGGTCAAAAACAGGTAATTTGAATTCACGATTCGAATCTCATGACCCAGAGAACTGCAAAATACCTTTTGAGTGATCAGATAAAAAAACTAACAATACAATATTCTTATTTCGCGTTTGACTTTGTTTATAATAGAAGTCGCAGGTCCTTTGTTAGCATTTGGCCGTTGGGATTCGAGTACAATGTATCGACGACCTAGACACAGTTGAACAACTAAATCAGACCGTAATTTAACCAAAGCAAGGTAAAAAACCAAGGTAAAAAACAAGGTAGGTATAAAACGGAATATCACAGACAGATTGCATGCACTGTTTGCATTTGCAAACGTCATCATTTGGAATTTATTAGCTACCCAAGTTTAAAAGTAGTGTATCTACTCAGCTCAAAATACAGAAAATAAAAGGGTCTTGAATAAAATAATGTAGGCGGTTTTAGTTCATAGATTCAGACAACCTTCAGGCAGAGGACATGTTAAGTAAGCGCTAATGAACTGTACGAGTCACGACATTAAATTCTGCCATTTTCTATGTATGTTGTGTTGTATCATTACATAGATAAAGCTATCATTACGAAGATCAGTAATGTATATCTGTTGTATCATAAAGTTGGCCTGAATTACCATATCTAACAGCCATTATCACACGCCGACTTATTTACCAACTGAAAATTTGACAATGCCAACGAACTTCCTACTTCTTTATTCCAAACTAGCNCGTCTAACTTAAGCGGTTTAGATTTTTTCATACAAATGTTTGTTCCCGCTAACTCCCGTTCCCGTGGGAATTTTGCAATATCCTGTTGTAACTAAGCTTTAAAATAACTAAGATACCTGCATGCCAAATTTCAAGCGTCTAACTTCTGCATGCCAAATTTCAAGCGTCTAACTTAAGCGGTTTAGATTTTTTCATACAAATGTTTGTTCCCGCTAACTCCCGTTCCCGTGGGAATTTTGCAATATCCTGTTGTAACTAAGCTTTAAGTTTACTAAGATATCTGCATGCCAAATTTCAAGTGTCTAACTTAAGCGGTTTAGATTTTTTCATACAAATGTTTTTTCCTGCTAACTCCCGTTCCCGTGGGAATTTTGCAATATCCTGTTGTAGCTAAGCTTTAAGTTTACTAAGGTACCTGCATGCCAAATTTCAAGAGTCTAACTTAAGCGGTTTAGATTTTTCACACAAAACGATTTTCCCGGTAATTCCCAGTCCCGTGGGAATTCCTAAGTATCCTATAACCTGCCCAGGAGTATGAAGAATAATTGTACCAAGTTTCGTTAAAATCCGTCGAGTAGTTTTTGTTTCTATAAGGAACATACAGACAGACAGACAGACAGACAGACAGACAGACAAAAATTTTACTGATTGCATTTTTGGCATCAGCATCGATCACTAATCGCCCCCTGATAGTTATTTTGAAAATATATTTCATGTACAGAATTGACCTCTCTACAGATTTATTATAAGTATAGATAAAAGCATGTGCATTCACGAGTAGTCACAGTAGAATTTTATAATTAAGATTTTAACTTTCGCGTTCCATTTAAAACTGACTAGTACAACAAAATACTTAAATGTCGCATTTGAGTCCCATTTTGCTCCGTTTTAAACAAATTTTATCAAAGATCTCATCAGGGTCCTACTTCTCATTCCTTCGACTATGGCAGGCCTCTGTTTGTTGTGATGCGCACCGGCGCAGATAAGCGGCGCGCCCTTGCCGAGGTCACTGCGACGCAGCGAGGAAATTACATTTGTTACAGGACTGAGTCCCGCACCAATCTACGACGCCACTGAGGTTTTACATTTGAATCCAGTCTGGACGTTTATTTAACACGTTGGACGCCACGCGGCTCACCGGTGAGCCTCGAACCATTAAATTTTCTATTGTGTCTAGTCTCTCGGCAATGAACAGTTTTAATTCAATGAGGGTTTTCGCGATTGAAAAATCCGCCAGATGGCAATACGTAATTGCTGCATGATTGGTTATTTTTGACATGACAATGTCCATGACATTGACAGATATGTCAAAATCCACCAATCACGCAGCATTTGGACCTCGCGTCTACGTATTGCCATCTGGCGGATTTTTCAATCGTGAAAACCCTCATTGAAGTACGTCTGTATTTGTTATTTGGTCACGTACGCTTTACTTAGTTTGGAGTTAGGTGTGATTCTAGGAACCATTTAGGTATTTGTTTGACTGTTTTTATGTGCAATCGTACTAAACTGCAGTGACAGGCAATAATAAATATAACGCATATCAGGGGCACATTGAATCGACGTTCTGTGTGTTTATAGTTGACGACTCGCCAACCATGTTTGTCGGGCATTGGCGATATGATAATTGATAAGGCAATCAAAAAAATCTTTTTATTTACGTATGTAGCACGTTTGTTTAATGGCGTTTCGCATTACAAATTGTTTTTAAAGCAATAATAAGTAGAGATTTACTAACTTAGAAGGTTTCTAGGTTCGAGTGCCTGATAGATACACAGTATAATATAAAATCACGTTGTGTAAGTATTTGTTTCCAGTAACTTCCATATCGCAATTTCATTGTACAAAATATTCTGTAAGAGTGAGTAATCCCACGATCTGTCACTCGCGTGTATTTTACGAGGCCGCACAGTTCATTGGACCGTTTTTGTCCGATAAACAAACGGTAACGAAATAAACGGTACCTAGTTAAAAACATTTATGTTTTGAGTAACTAGTCTAACGATTTGGGTTTAGTTGTTTACATTTAAACAGTCATCGGAATCTACGCAATAGATATTAAAACGATAAATAAATAATAAACAGTTTCATATAAATAAATCTAGATAATCGTGAACCAAACATAGCAGAGCTTATAACTCATTATGACGACTAGGTAGCTGATAAAATACATAATAAGCATATACATAAATGCCATACAAAATTTTATTAAAAAGATAAAACGAAAATGCTCATGTTCATCAATCAATATTTGCCCCCATCGGGATTAAAATCTGTAACAGCCGCAGACATCTAATACCGGCTACCGGTTGTATAATGCACGCGCATGCCACGTGGCAAAGTTAATGTTTACAAGACGGCCCACCAGACTGGAGAAATCGCATTTACATGTTTCGCTCGTTGTACCGTTAAACGCGGCGGTGACTAAAAGGTGCTTGATAACGCTTTAATGGAACCCTACAATAGTTGATTTGAACTACAAAACAATGTTCAATGTTGATTCTAACAATGCGCGTTTGTGTGATATCGCCCAGCACATTTCAGGCGACGCCCCTGGCGCTGTTATCAGTGGCAGATAACGGATGACCAGTTAAACGACGCAAATTATTTCATTATTAATGAAATAAAAATGCAATATTATCACGTTCAGATACATGCTCTAGTTTTTCATTCGAAATGACCTTTACCCATAGGCAATTGACAATGTAGCGATGTGAGGTCTATCGACAGAATTGGAGACCGATGATTCATCTTGTTATTTGTATTGCAACCGTTTTCCTTTTAGCCTGGCGATAAACGGCTAAATGTACGGTCCATACAACGCACGCCGGGACGGACAACAGTACAAAGGACATTGACAATGCCACGAGAGCGCATTGGTTAGTACTTAGGTCATTCTTCTTCAGTTAAATGACTTAGCTAGACTGGACCAGCTTAGAGCAGTTTGAGTGACCCGTCTCAGTCAATTTACTTTTCCAATTTGGTCTACGATATCTCTGGAAGATAAGCGACTTGGCATCCTTTACTAAGTATCACTATGTAGTTCCTTCGCTCTATCTACCCTACTTCCAGTTAATACCCTGATCACTGATCAGGCTGCATTAGACATTGTAACATCCGTGACAGATTTGACATCGATTAGAAAAAGATATTACGCTTTTTTGTGAGACAATCAGTTAATTGAATCAGTCACGAATTTGGTTAATTACCTGATAAGCGTAGCACGATATTATGAAATATAGGGAACCTATGCAGTGTTATAGTTCTCAGGTCCAGTATTATGTCTAGGGACTCTTTTAATTTTGTTTGTGTGCGATAAAAATTAACGCAGGCTTTGTTGAACCTTGTCGTAACATAAGCATATTAATTAGATTACCTTAGCACGAGGGATTAACGGGATTTTGTTGAATCGTAACATAAGGCTTACAACGAGGGGTTAACGGGACTATTCCCACCGCTCGTTCACACCGCTGCAACTCTTGCGCATCCAGAATCTACAGCTTGACCACCAATAAAAACCCAACCAGTGAAAGCCAAGTTTCAAAGTCAAATCTTTTATTCGTTACTTACGCCTTTTCAGGGCGCGTATACACGTCCCAAATATAGCTTGCCCCGGGGAAACGGGACTATTCCCACCTCTCGTTCCCACCGCTGCAACTCCTGTGTAGCCAGGATCTACAGCTTGACCGCCATAAAAACCCAACCAATGAAGGTCAAGTTTGTCCCGGGGGAAAGTTAAATTGTCATTGGACCCGCAACGAAATTAATCAGAAGAACATAGGACGAGTTTATAGCCACGATAGCCGAACGGTGAAGGGGTCGGAGTGGCCGACTCGAGATCCGAGGAACGCAGGTTCGAATCCCACCGCCGCTCGACTATTGTGGTGAGCATACTCTTAACACAAGCTTATTTAGCTTACCACGAGAGGCTAACGGGACTATTAAACGATAATTGCCCCGGGGAAAGTTAAAAGGGTTAACGCTAATTTCGGAACAAAACTGTATGATGTACTCACCAGCGCTGAATCCAGTTCCGTTAACAGTCCTGAAGGCCTCCTCCTGCAGACGGGACACCGTGACGACGGCGGTGGCGTCGTAGGTCTCGTTGCTCATGCTGAGCTTGGTGGCCGGCAGGCAGCGGTAGGACGTGGCCAGCGGCGTCGCCCACTCCTCGCCGTACGAGAATTCCAGAGTGTCGGCTGGCACGGCTGGCGGAGGAAATGTTAAATTCAATAACTTAGAAAAAATTAATTGCTTATCATCATCATCATCATTTCAGCCATAGGACGTCCACTGCTGAACCCTCCCTTAATGACTTCCACATCGCACGGTTGGTAGCGGCCTGCATCCGGCGCCTTCCTGCTACCTTAATTGCTTATAGATCGTTTCAACCACGAAGACGCGCCCCACCATTCTTCCGCTAATGTTTGAGTGTTATCGGTACACGCTAAATTATCCATGAGTGCACACGCACACTACAATAATGACGCTCGGATTGCTCGGATCAAACTCTCCGCACCTCGCGCTTCCCTCGACCAAAAATTGGTGGGGCGCGTCTTCGTGGATGAAACGATCTATCTACACTAATATTATAAAGAGGAAAACTTTGTTTGTTTGTTTGGTTGTAATGAATAGGCTCAAAAACTACTGGACCGTTTTTAAAAATTCTTTCACCATTCGAAAGCTACATTATCCACGAGTAACATAGGCTAAATTTTATTTTGGAAAGAAATAGGGTTCAGGGGTCCACGCGCGCGAAGCCGCGGGCGGAAAGCTAGTAAACTATAAAACTGGCAGTTCAGCTACATGCACGAGGGAAGATTCCCAACTATTGCACAATATTAACCATCAAAAGAAAGTGTAATGGTTCGAGATAGTAAGATTGACAGGTTGGGGATATGACTTATTGTTTGTTATCTCGTCTGACACAGTGACACCCACACCATATCAGAAGGTAGAATTTAGGATTACAATGGGTTAATGACAGTCATTGAAAGCTTTAATATATTTTATGATCCTACTAATAGTTTAAATGCGAAAGTTTGGATGGATGTCTGGATGGATGTATGTTTGTTACTCTTTCACGCAAAAACTACTGAACGGATTTTGATGAAACTTTACAGTATTATTGTTTATAACCCAGAATAACTTATAGGCTATAATTTATGACGATCTGTGACAGACTAAATTTCACGCGGGTGAAGCTGCGGGCAAAAACTAGTATTTAATACATTTATATTAAAGGTGCTTCCATTGATAATTTTCCTCAACCCACCAACTAAAATATATTTCTACCATAGTTTTCCTTGAGTTTAGGTGCTTTTAACATAACACTGTATATTTACCAATAACTAATCGGTATTATTTCGAGCAGATAATACATAAAGGCACTCTTTTAAAAATAAATATTTCTCTTTTATTTTATTCTGTAAATGATGAATGGATATGATCTTACAGTCATGATAGGATACCAAATAATACAGTAAAAAGACTAAAAAAAATAGATTGTGTTAGAATTTTAAACTCAATCGCTTTCGATCGGAACTTCAAAATTTTGTAACATTTTTCCAAGCTCGTTAAAGTTATCTCAGTATTTACTGATCTTAAATGTAAATTGAGAGTTATTTAAATAGAACCAGTTTGCGTAGGTCCATCCGAAGTTGTGTAAATTGGAATCTTGTTTGCTTAATTATGAACGTGTCTGTTACGTACGGGTTTATTGACCAAATGACCATAAATAAAATAAGTGTACGGGCAACATCACTTCAAGTTAAACTGTAGTATCTTACGCCGTTGTAATAAGATTTTTTTTGCGACAAAAACGTTAAGGCCGATGTTCCTTCCTCTGTACATGTAAGTATTGACTAATAAAGATATTCAATCACTAATTTTTAAGTGACCCCTACGAAAACAAAATTCTTGATAATATGTGTTACCACAGGGGTCACTTAAAAATTAAGGATTGATGGTGAAAACGGGCATTAATTAGGCTTCGATCGAGTATCTTATTTTCTTAAAAAAATAAAGTACTGACGACAGCATATCGCTTCTATTACTACTACAAAAAAGTTATAATATTTACCTGGATGTGCCCTGTTGTTATTTGTAGGACAAGACATTCGCTTAGGTAATAACATAGTTTTTTACGACTAAAACCTAGCTTTTAAATCGAAACCGGAATCCGTTTTTTGTGAGTCACAAAAAATCGCGGAGATACAGTTCCAATAAACTGGCTTCAAATGATGCAATATTGTCGAAATAAGATACAGTAACTTAAAAGTGAAGTGCTTACTGCTTATGTAGATAGTACAAGAACGTCATCTAAATATCTATGCATTTATATTTATTGCACAACTATATTTTATAATTTTTTTTCATTAACCGCATGTTTTTCTTAAATAAAGAAAGATGAATCTTGTTCAATGTTAAGCTTCATATATGTAGTGTATTGAGTTACCGATAGATGGCGCTGTCTGTAGGTTGAATCGCGGTATGTAAGTTTTAGACGGCCCCTACATATACTCAAATTTGGTTCGGAATAAATGAGACTTGCCACTGGAATCTTGGTTTTATTCAAGTTACTACCTGTGGGCTTTTTGGGACTTGTACATGGTCCTTCGGTATTGCCGGTTAAGGGCGATATTCTGAAGTAGTACTAGTGCAGTGTCCATTGCGGCGCCGAAGAGGTTGCGGATTGTTGCCTATGGTGCTTGGCGGTTGTTGGAGCAGCACAAGGTGGCGGCGAGCTGTTTTGGCGTACTACGTCAGAGTCGAGGAGGGAACCTCCTCTGACGTCACCACTCGGACCTCATCGTCGGCTGCAGGGGGGAGCACCCCCGCGGATAAAATAAGTACTGATTGTATGCTTAAATAAGTAAATCAAATACTACTCGTATTACTCTGCTATCTATTTTTATCTTTACTGTATCTTGTTCCAACCTTTTAACTATTTATTTGTTATTATTTTAAGGACTCCGTCCATGGCGGGCGGAATGTTCAATGTTAAGCTTCATATATGTAGTGTATTGAGTTACCGATAGATGGCGCTGTCTGTAGGTTGAATCGCGGTATGTAAGTTTTAGACGGCCCCTACATATACTCAAATTTGGTTCGGAATAAATGAGACTTGCCACTGGAATCTTGGTTTTATTCAAGTTACTACCTGTGGGCTTTTTGGGACTTGTACAAATCTCCTTTCATGTGTGTGGAAGTATTTAAATTTTTTCGTGAAGGTTTTCGTGATACGAAATGCAATTTATTTTTGGACCATGAAGTTGAATTCAAGCCTGCAATGTCAACAAACAGCCAAACCACTTAAACAAAAGAATGTTTGATTTCTCTGTTTACATTACTAGGTAATTGAACCCAGAACTTTTAGAAGGATAAACTAAAATTATCAAGGACTAGCTGACCCGGCGAACTTCGTACCGCCTTAGCGTAGAGATTTTCTTAATATTTTTTTCCGTAAGAACCATCCTTGGACTTCCACAAACATTTAAAAAAAAGAATTATCGAAATCGGTTCAGCCGTTCACACGTGATGCCGTGACAACGCGAAACGGGTTTCATTTTTATATATATAGATAAGAAAAATTGTAATAAGGATAAGGTGTCTTCTCAAAATAAAAATAAATCGGTCAAAAACGAGATATTCTCGATTCTTGGAACTGAATCGAATAAGAATTTTGAATAACATTTTCCTTATTCCTTGAATCGTTAAAGTCGAGGAAAATATCGCACGAATATAATTTCTTACACGATGTTTGATTTATGAGTTACCTAATAAGATAATGTATATCGATTTAGCAATCAAAGTTAATGCTTAAGTAAATTGATTCATTAAAATATTATATTATAGTTCAGTAAAAACCCGTTTGGAAAATGCATTTGAATGTACAGATTCTTAATAAATATTAGCAATAAATGATTAGTATTTTAGTAAATGCGTAATTTATAATTTACCCAAATAAGAAAATAAATTATTTAGAACATTCTAGAGAGATTAGAAATAGTAATAAGACCAGACCAAATAATGAATGTACAGGTAAATACCCTCTTGACATTCAGAGGACAGAGGTGAAAACATTACGTTTGGCAAAACTAAAGAAAAACTATTAATGGAATAAGATATGGTTGACCTTTTTGGGTCTTAAAACAAGATACAAAAACGTCATGCATATTTCGCACTCTTTATTGCGCCAAATTAGTTTGGAGTAAAAACTTTAACCGTAACTATAACTATGACCGGTGCTTTTTGGAGTTTGACATTTGTTAAAGTTCAAGTAAGAATATGCAACCCAGCCTTAGTGATCTGTTATTTTGTATTATCCGTCCTTTAGCGCAATGATCTCAATGACGAAATCTTAATGTATCTTTGTTTGATGGGCCACTTTGCAACCGTTACATGATTGCAGCGTTGCAGACCGTTGCATAACCGTTTCAGCTGAAATATTCACGGACAAAGCTAAATTCAATTCCGCTCTCTTGTGTCGCAAGGTCGGAGAGGTCGAGAATTATCTAGAACTTGTCATTTTTAAACCGTACACAAACAATTATTCGCAAGACTTGGATGTAGCGGTCACAGTTAGCAATTAATTTGACATTTGGCGAGAGGAAGGTATAGCTCTGTGATACAGCTATACATTAAAGTGAAGATAAACTAGTTGCATTCTATTTGAAAGATTTTGGGAATAACACACAAAACATTCATCTTTCACGCACAGATTTGTTAATTTACAAATGCAGAGAAATTGAAGTCTGCCGCACGCACTGCATTTGCAATTATTTATTCCATTATGAACAATTAATTATTAATTAATTAGCAAATGCCAGATGTAAAAATTGTTTAATCAGAACGGGAAGTTTTTGTTATCATCACGTATTCGAGATTCCAATGACGCAATGCACGCTATACGAAATCACGAACTATACCGTGTTTTAATAATGCATATCGTATAAATTTATTCAGAAGAAAAACAAAACAAAGAACTGTCCCTTTGAATTTGCATCATGCATGCAATAAAGTTTTAAATAAATGAATAGAGAGAAAAGAAATTATGTGCATTATGAATTCCCTGAATCCATGTCACTATATGCATTCAGATTTTAGACTATTAGTCATCATAGATTTTTGTCGCAAAATAGCATTTATTACGACTGCATAAAATGCCAATGTTTAACTTGACGTCTTGTTATCTGTAAAATGTAGTCTAATGTTGATTGTACAAAAAATGGTTAGTAATGAAGTTATGTCTAGCACATTGGTTCCCAAACTTATTTTTGACGCGCCCCCTTTCGACCATTCAAAAAATTCCGCGCCCCTCCTCCTCCAGTCAAGATTATTTATTGGTCGTATCGAGCAGTCTGGAATGCATTCTCTCAGCGGTCGCAGGTTTTTTATACTCAAGTATACAGATGGCCCGCGCCCCCTTTAAAGGTCTTTGCGCCTCCCCTGGAGGGCGCGCCCCGCACTTTGGGAACCAATGGTCTAGCAGATAGTAGTGGACTGTCGCAAGCTGTTGCAATACTCACAAGCATTGACCAGGACTGAGGCATCCACGGTGAGGTTGAGGCTGCTCAGCGCATAGGTCCTGGTGGTCTCGTTCTTCAGGAACTGGAGTCGGATGGTGTTGAGGACGCCGTCGGAGCCAGGCCAGCCGATGAGCAGCCACTGCTGCGTGGATGACGCGTTGCAGCTGCCGTCTTGAACGGTCGCGTTGACTGGCACGTTCATCACCTCGGAACGGTAGGAGGTCACTGGAAAAATATTTTCTATTAGTATCGAGGATGGTTGAACCTAAGCTTTGAAAGGACATTTATTATTGTTATTGGTTTTTGGGCCTTCATTTGCGCCAGCTCGACCAGGTTTGATCTATTGTGGCAGCCCTTGTGTTTAGAGTTCACTGCTTAGTCCCGTTGAGTCCTTAAATTTCCAGACTCTTTGGAGCGTGATATCTGATATCTCATCTCATCTCATTGAAGGACATAGCAAGGACATTGGACCTTATAACAAGAGTACAAGTATACAAATATGGTGTAAACTAGTAAGTTGCACGTCTTCTTTCAGCAACTTAAGCATTGTTTTCTTCTGTGTGTCCATCAATTCAGATATTAGAAAATTCATAAATGCTCTTTTGATTCCAGATATTACGTAGAAACGGTATAATAAGTATGCAATGCGATATATGAAAGCACAATGTTAGATGTTAGCTTGGTATACCTACTGTTCCGCTAAATACTCTAAAAATAAATTATAACTTATCGAATTATTTTACGTCGACATAGCAAGTCTGGATGCCTATGGACATGTATGACTAATTATGGACAGTCCAATTAATTATGTTATCGAACTTGTTATGTTATGTTGACATGATCTCTCACTATCTTAAGGCCATGATTTCCCAAATTGTCGATATTTGACCGATTTTGTTTGCAGATAGCTTCTAAATGAAAAGATATTTTAGCAAACAAAAAATTGTACGAGTAAGTTAATGTCTTTAACTAGGGCGACAACTTTTCCAAAACACGATATTGCATAGTTTGTCCGATAAAAAAAAATCCCAAAGAATTACGTCGACGGCTTTTTTGTTTTACTCTCATATATTCATTTTTAACATTTTACACTTAAAATATATACTAATAGATAGGACTTTGTATTTTCTAGGTCGACAACTTTTCAAACTTTTGTTATTGCGTCTTATTTAGTTACTATGTTGAAAAAATGTGAAAAAATCGGCCATGACGGCTTGGACAATCTTAATCAGTCGCGCGGTGGCGCTTACGGAGGACGGACGCGTGTCAGTTTTATTCCTGTGACAGTTCGCGGCTTGTCAATATTTTTGACAAAATCGCCTCTGTCTGGCGGGTGGCGAGTCACAGTATAATAATATCAGTATTACTNAGGTGGTTATTTTTTTCAAATATCTGCAACTAATAGGGAATCTGTCAAAAAAAAGAAATCTGAGAAAAGTCAACCCAAAAAAAAGATAAAAAAAAAATTAAGTCACTAGGTCATGAAATTTGAAAAAATCACAAAATTAACGATAACTTCTAAACTACGAAAAATCGTAGAACATACATGGGGGTGAAATCGATAGGTCTAGTCCTCACCTATCACCTGCCTTCGGCTTGACACCTTACAAGAAACACCCTGTATAGATTGTCCGTGTGCTCAAAAAATCATTGTTAACGCACAACTTTCAGTTTGCTCGAATATTGGTATTTGGTAAATGACGTTTTCACTAGCACAAAAGAAATGTGTTAACGCATGATTCACGTTCGCTGTGCGCGTGAGTCACAGTTCTGACACTGCCGTTATTGGGTTACATTGCAATTAAATCTGCATGCGCATGGCATTTGATCGGCGCACTGCACACTGATTCTAATGCATGTTGCTGATGGGTAGGGTTAGTTTCAGAGTTATTTAATTTGCTCTCTTTAACTGCCTCTAATGGTTGATATAATAATTAGCACGTCAGCATATTATCGCCTATGAAATAAAAATGTTCAATTTAGAACAATGTGCCACAAATGGCATCGGATTTATTGCTGCCTTTTTTGTCTCTCATTGTAAACAAAAATAAAATCACAAGACTAAACGACGCACGTCATTATCAAGCAAGATTAAAATAACCATTCTGGTATAGCCGGAATAATTATAAAGCGTTAATTTGAGAAATGATGCTATCAAGAGTTGACCAGACTAGAAGTTTATCGGTCACGTAGGTATAAACTATCGCTTGGAGATAACGCCTCAAATTATTGACAGAACTTCAACATTCAAATCGTTTTTCTTCGCGTACACGTAGGTAGGAAGTGCCGCAGTCATATCGTGAGATTTTTAAATATGCTTATCGCTGCAATGAGGAATTTGTAGTTAAATACTACAGAATTAAANAAATTACACGGGGAATAAAAGTATCAAGGGGTTTTATTGATTGTATAAACTTTTGCCGCTTTATTTTTATCGACTGATGCATGTTTACGCTTTATAACGTGATAAATTATTCTGGCCAATGTTATCCGTAGTCTATAGTCCGTATCACAGAACGAAACTCAAGAATGATTCAAGGCTTTTGATTGGCCGAATCTCAATTAACAATTCACAGGCAGAATCTATTGCCCAGTTTGAATTTAGTTTTGAGCGTTTTTAGTAAGAGCCATCTGCACTTGCGATTTCACAGTGAGACGAGATCGTGTCGTGCACGCAACGAGTACCTACCAAATCTCTACTTTGAAAGGACTATGTATGTAGGGTCAACAGTTACATCATATCAGCTATCGACTATCTGTCGTCCAAAACTTAAATCATACCATCACTTTCACTAGCCTCAAAGCAAAAACGCCAAATGGGAAGCATTGTCGGTCAGATTCATCGTCAATCTTCCAACGTTCGCCTATTATCGTCTCTGAATGTACCGCGGTTGAAGATACTAATGCACTTTTCTCATTCGGCCATGACATGCCGTCGAACAAACCTAATCGAGTCGCGCTCTTACGTCATCGGGAAAATCGATTAGAGTGTTATTTTCTCATAGTTATTCTGCTTGGAGTGAATACTTGCGAAGACATTTGCAAGTTAATGATAAATTTACATATTTACTGACAGTAATAAAATACATTGTTGAGATAATTTCTACTATTATCATACAAAATGTCCTGCAAACATAATCAGATTAGCTTTTGCCCGCGACTTGGTCCGCGTAGAAATCGAAAATGGTTCTAATAGGATTAATTACGTAATTATTACCCGACTGCGCCAGAAGTAATGGTAATGATTTTTCGAGTGTAATGTATGTATGTAGAGGACGCGACCGAGCCAGGGGCGCCTATAGACGCAGTGGACCCTGAAACTCGCTCGAGTAAACAATCATGCCAGGGGCCTGTGCGCAGCGCATGTCCGTTTTAATGCAGCGGTCGGCGCAGGCGCAGCTCGACCTTGACTCAACGAGCACATCACGATCGGACAACTATACAACTAGTTTTGAAAAGACCCGTCTTTCTTGAGCAGTCAGATTGGTTGAAAAGAAATTCGTTTTGGACATACAATTCAAGCGTGTCCTGAATAAAAGGTCGAAACAGGTCATTTAAATTCACGATTCGAATCTCATGACCCAGAGAACTGCAAAATACCTTTTGAGTGATCAAATAAAAACACTAACAATACAATATTCTTATTTCGCGTTTGACTTTGTTTATAATAGAAGTCGCAGGTCCTTTGTTAGCATTTGGCCGTTGGGATTCGAGTACAATGTATCGACGACCTAGACACAGTTTAACTTTAACAAGTAAATCAAATTGTAATTTAACCAAAGCCCAGGTAATAAGGTATAAAACGGAATATCACAGACAGATTGCATGCACTGTTTGCATTTGCAAACGTCATCATTTGGAATTTATTAGCTACCCAAGTTTAAAAGTAGTGTATCATCTACGCATCTCAAAATACAGAAAATAAAAGGGTCTTGAATAAAATAATGTAGGCGGTTTTAGTTCATAGAAAGAGACCTCTTTCAGACAACCTTCAGGCAGAGGACATGTTAAGTAAGCGCTAATGAACTGTACGAGTCACGACATTAAATTCTGCCATTTTCTATGTATGTTGTGTTGTATCATTACATAGATAAAGCTATCATTACGAAGATCAGTAATGTATACCTGTTGTATCAAAAGTTGGCCTGAATTACCATATCTAACAGACATTATCACTAACATAAGCCGACTTATTTACCAACCAACTGAAGTTATTTGACAATGACAACGAACTTCCTACTTCCTTACACCAAAATATTCGTGTGCTCAAAAAAATCATTGTTTAACGCACAACTTTCAGTTTGCGAACATTGGTATTTGGTAAAATGACGTTTTCACTAGCACAAAAGAAATGTGTTAACGCATGATTCACGTTCGCTGTGCGCGTGAGTCACAGTTCTGACACTGCCGTTATTGGGTTACATTGCAATTAAATCTGTGCATGCGCATGGCATTTGATCGGCGCACTAAACACTGATTCTAATGCATGTTGTTGATGGGTATGTTATAGGGTTAGCCACCGAGTTATTGGGCTCTCTTTAACTGCCTCTAATGTATAGCATGTCAGCATATCGCCTATGAAATAAAAATGTTCAATTTAGAACAATGTGCAACAAGTTACCACAAATGGCATCGGATTTTTTCATTTTTAATAAGTTAATTTGCTGCCTTTTTTGTCTCACATTGCAAACTAAAATAAAAATCACAAGACTAAATGACCCAAGTCATTATCAAGCAATATTAAAATAACCATTCTGGTATATCCGGAATAATTAAAGAGCGGTTATTTGAGAATGATAAATATCAAGGGTTGACCAGAGGTTTATCGGTCACGTAGGTATAAACTATCGCCTGGAGATAACGCCAGAAATTATTGACAGAACTTCAACATTCAAATCGTTTTTCTTCGCGTGCACGTAGGTAGGAAGTGCCGCAGTCATATCGTGAGATTTTTAAATATGCTTATCGCTGCAATGAGGAATTTATAGTTAAATACTACCGAATTAAAGCCCTTTATCAAACAGCCATGCTCGTATTAGTTTTTCATAAGATTTTGATAGCGGGAACTGTGATAATTATAGCGATAGCATTTCGCATCGTGAAGGCTAAGTCCATTTTGTATAACGCATTAGGGGAATTCCCGTTGAACCAAAACATCAATTGATTAGAATGCAGAAAAAACAGATAGGTAGGTTCGAATGCTACGGAACAGTTTCTCATTATAAAAGTATAGGTATTTGTCAAATATAACATGTTCGATAAGCGATATTATTATGTTGTTACTTGTTGGTTACGTGGGTACCCAGTACAGCTACTTAAGCAGTTTTACACACGAATAATTAAAATCCAAAGGAAACAATACCAACGACTTTCAAGTATAGAAACTAACTACTTCGTTTGTTAACTAGTTGCACAACCGCTTATGTAAGCGGCTTACCATTCAAGAAACCAATTCAATGAAGTCGTGGACAAATAAGTTAAATAAAGTAAGTGTAATTTCCAGACGTTTGTCAACAGTTTGAGTGATTTCGGTTCTTTAAGACTTCTGGAAACTGTTCCACGATAAAAAACCTTGAAGTACTAGAAATATAAGGCTTTTGCGGTGATCATAATCTAGAGCATCTGACCATTTACTGCAACATTTCAGGTTAATTATCAAAATTCGTTAGTTTTTTCAGAAGGAAACCTTCTACTGAGCTGGTACAGCCCTGTAGTCAGACCAATCTGTCAAGTACCAGCAGAACGAATCTAAATGGAAAACAATTGCTAGCGCGATCTAGTTAGACCGTTGCGAGTAGTTTGATCAAAGTTAACTCCTCAACCGATACTAGAAAATTTTCTTATACTTTAAAGGACTGAAGGGCAATGGCAGGAACTAGTCCTGCCTGCATTTTTATCAATAAATACCGTTCGCTAGTGAGGCAGTATTGCTTATACGCCCCACACGCTAAAGTAACTAAATTATGTTGCACTTCAGTAACAGCACCATTGTAACAAGAATAGGCAGAAGTAGAACAAGCGCGTCACCGTCCACTTGTGCTTAGCTGTTTGTTTACCTATAACCGTACAATGGCGCTTTTTACTCGCCAATCGGTTAGTGGGCGTATGTGCACGGGTGACTTTTGTTACCTTGACAGTATGTCTCTCCATAGACAAGAATAAGTACAACAATGTCTTTCTTTTTCTCTTTATAATATAAAAGTGTAGTTCTAAGTCCGCCTGGCTAGCTACCACCATCTTACCTAAGTCTGTCGCCATACCAACAATGTTAACAGCATTGTTGTGTTTCGGCAGTTAGAGGTAAGATAGCCAGTTCCTCCGTGCTTGAGGATTCCAGGTGAAGCTCGCTTCCACCTTCGGCCTGAGCATCAGTTACCATCATGTCAGATACAGGCCAAGAGCTTCCTCGTTGTGGTTAAAAAAAGAGAAAGATATGCTGTCACGGTGACAAAAAGTCACCGTTCGCGCATAGCCTAAGTGGGCGTACGCGCACGGGTACCGACGACCCGTTGATCAGTAGAACCCCTCCGTCTATTTATGGCAGTCATTATACGAAGCTAGCGGTTCTGCACGTGCAGGGGATAGTAGATTACTTCAATGATATAGCCTCTATTTAACTCCTTCATGATTGTACTGATCAGTTTTTACTTATCAATACATTGAGCAGTTGGATGATAAGCTCTTAGCAAGGCTGCATTATTTATGCTACGTTTACACTGCGCGGAAATTAGCCAAGTCAAGTAAAAAAAACAGTGGAGTGGGGATGAATTATGAATGAATTTCATCCCCACTCCTCTGTTTTTTTGACTTGACTCGGCTAATTTCCACATAGTGTAAAAGCAGCATTAGATTTTTATTGATGTCTTAAAGTCCATTAAATGGTTAACTATCCTCATAACGAAGTATTTGCCCAAGGAGAAGAACCTCATGGGATCAGTTTTGCCTTTAATGTTTTTTCATTATGTAAAACATACAAGAATGCTTCTAGAATTATACATTACATAAAAATGCTTGAATTTGAAAATAATATTACATAAATAACATTGTTAATTAATACATTCATCTCTTATCAATTCCAATTGGTAATTCAATATGTTAAGAGTTTATTTATTAATTTAAAATAATTTATCAGTCTTTCTTTTATAAAGACTGACCTATTGTTTGAATATTTTGCTACACATGTGAGGACACATACACCGCATGATGAGAAATATATTTAAAAAATAATTGTGCAAATATTCAAATAACGATAATTTGGTGCAAAAGTAACTAAGAACAGAATATTGTGTCACAGTAACATTACACAACAGCATTCAAGTGTCAATAAATAATGAACAATGAAAGACCTACAGTTGAGTAACCATTTGAACTAAGTTCAGCTCAGTGTAATTAAATTATGTTATGGACCACCATCTTTATCAACAATTAAAGACACTGTAAGTTAAATGCCATATTATGAAATGAAAATAAAATTGAAAGTACAAAATTTACAACTAAGCTCAGTAACACACTCTCCACCCCCACTATATTTGGGACTATATTTGCGATATTTTATGACTTTTCTCGAAAACAACAATTGAAAACAAGATTTTGAGTATTGACTCAAAATCTTGTTTACAATTGCGCAATCGGAAAAGTTATTAGTAACATAACATTAGTAACTTCTTCTTCTTTTAACAATCTAATGAATTCTAATTAACATAAAAGCTAAATATGAAATGGCAACTCACCATTGTTATTGGTCATGCGGTAGGTGATGTTGATCTGCGCTGCGAACTGAGCCACGATGCAGGTGACGTTGGAGGTCTTGTTGGTGAGCGACCAGGTGCCCTGGTCGGGGGCGGGTAGCGGCTTGGGCGGCGTGGGCTTGGGCGGCGGCGTCGGCGCGGGCGGCTTTTGCGTCGTCGTGGTCGTGGTGCTAGTAGTAGTCGTAGTGGTTGTAGTTGTAGTAGTGCTAGTAGTGGTGTTCTTTGGGTCGGGGTCAGGCGTCGGCGCCGTCACTGTCGTCGGCTCCACAGACGACGTCTCCGGCAAGCCTTGAACGGCCTGCGAAGCCGCCAGGCTCTCGACGGTCTTCGGTGGCACATCTAACAACTCCGTTTTGGGCGCCTCATCTCCTCGCCCTAAAATGTGGGTAGAACATTAAAAAAAAGAGGGTAGTGAAACCCGGTATGAAGTCTAAATGCGTAAAAAATCGTTACAATCTTACTGCAAGAAACCAATTTAGTCAATTTGAGCTATCCCATCCCCCTCGATGCAACGCGATAAAGTAACAAAGAACCAATAATCTGTTGCGACATACATTTTTGTACAACTTACCTAGGATTGAACAACTACAAAACGCCACTAAAAGCAAATAAAACCGTAGTCCAAACATTTTAACGTATTGTCACTCAATTACAAATGCACTTAAAACAAAGATTCCTGAACAGTCGCACTAATGTGGAGCAAACAAAATCATTCGACAATAATTCGGTGCAGGAAAGAAAATGTCCACAGCGAAGCACAGACTAAATTATAAAACGTCACTCTCTCCGCTCCGCACTGTCACTGCTGTTGACAGACAGCTGAGCTGTGTTGCTACTATTAAACCTACGAAACTACTATTTACTGTTGTATAGCCCGACCAGGAACATAAAAACCCTCGCCATGTTGCGGAAAACTAATGGTACTAATTTCTTTTAATGGCAACAGTAACTGAAAACTTCATTGACATGTCACCTTGCATGTCAGTCTATTGCTGTCAAAGTGTAAACAAACTTTATTTTAAATGTGCGCAATTGATTTTGTGAGTTAAATTGCTAAAATCTTTTTATAGTCGTGAAAGAAAAGTGGTTTACAATGTGTTAAAGTATTTGTCGAAGAGAAATACTAAGGATTCAGACAATATTTTCATTGAATAATGTTTCCGACAAAGGTTGTCAAATTGACTGACATGTTTATCGTATAGTACAGTCCACTATGAAAATTAGCTGTGGTTTGTTTCAACCACCTATTTTAAAGTTTTTTGTCACTTTCTAAGTGTTGAATTTTATGGAATTGGGAAAGAAGTACCGAGTTTGAAGCGTTCATGAGCAGACATTGCAGTTGAATATTCAAGTTCTGAATTTGATTATTAATAAATAATAAAACAAATCCTACTAGCTCGATTGATGGTTTCATTTAATTCATTTAAACCAGGCTACCTATAACAATTTTGGCCAATAAAATTGATTTCCCCATTAGGGTTACAGGCAGTGGCGGATTAACGTATAAGCACTACAAGCACGTGCTTGGGGCCCCTGTTCTCCAGGGGCCCTGGCGCGCCAGCAGAGGATGGAGGCGTTTCATTTCATACCTACATTTTATCGAGATTTAGCCTATGTTACTTGTAAGTAATTGTAGCTTTCAAATGGTGAAAGAATTTTTAAAAACGGTCCAGTAATTTTTGAGCCTATTCATTACAACCATACAAACAAAGTTTTCCTCTTTATAAAATTCATAAAATTCATTTATTTTTGCAAATAGGCTTTAAAAAAGCGCTTTTACACGTCCCAATATTAACCCTACCACTGCTTCGGGACAATAAATGGGCCAGTGCTGAGAAGAAGCAGCGCAAGAAACTCAGTCACTATTGTCAGCCTTCTTTTCAAGGTTTTACAGTCTTTAAAATATACAAATTATAGTCATAAGTATTGATGCGAGCTAGGTAGTTAAACATTCCAAACATTTTTATCCTTTATATAATCATCAACTTTATACTTAGTAGCCCTTTTTCATTAAGGTGCTTTTGATATGTGCTTTAAATTTATGAATGGGCAATTCTACAACAGTTTGTGGTAATTTATTGAAAAGTTTAATACATTTCCCCATAAATGAATTACCAATCTTGTGCAGTCTGAAAGGACATCATCCATTTTGGTCCAAAATCAAAAGTGCCGGCCAAAAAATAAAAGTGCTGTATTCTGATAGAATACGTCCGCCTTAGCATTTATTACTATGGCACCAAAGCTGTAGCACCACTGTGCATCGTAGTATTTGAGTTCTAAAAATATATGAAACGACTGACTTTGATCTCAAATACTACGACGCACAGTGGTGCTACAGCTTTGGTGTCATAGTAACAAATGCTAAGACAGACGTATTCTGTCAGAATACAGTACTTTTTTTTTATTGGCCGACATTTTTAATTTTGAACAAAAAATGTATGAATCGTCGATGAATTTTAGATCTCAAATACTCGACGCACAGTGGTGCTACAGCTTTGGTGCTATAGTAACAAATGCTAAGGCGGACGTATTCTGTCAGAAGACAGCACTTTTTTTTATTGGCCGACACTTTTGATTTTGAACAAAAAATGTATGAATCGTCGATGAATTTTAGATCTCAAATACTCGACGCATAGTGGTGCTGGTGCTACAGCTTTGGTGCCATAGTAACAAATGACAAGGCGGACGTATTCTGTCAGAATACAGCACTTTTTTTTTTTTGGCCGACATTTTTGATTTTGAACAAAAAATGTATGAATCGTCGATGAATTTTAGATCTCAAATACTCGACGCACAGTGGTGCTACAGCTTTGGTGCCATAGTAACAAATGCTAAGGCGGACGTATTCTGTCAGAAGACAGCACTTTTTTTTATTGGCCGACACTTTTGATTTTGAACAAAAAATGTATGAATCGTCGATGAATTTTAGATCTCAAATACTCGACGCATAGTGGTGCTGGTGCTACAGCTTTGGTGCCATAGTAACAAATGACAAGGCGGACGTATTCTGTCAGAATACAGCACTTTTTTTTTTATTGGCCGACACTTTTGATTTTGAACAAAAAATGTATGAATAGTCGATGACTTTTAGATCTCAAATACTCGACGCACAGTGGAGCTACGGCTTTGGTGCCATAGTAACAAATGCTAAGGCAGACGTATTCTGTCAGAATACAGCACTTTTTTTTGTTGGCCGGCACTTTTGATTTTGGACCAAAAATATATGAAACGTGGATGATGTCCTTTGGAACGGCAAGTTTATTTTTGTTTCTTGTATTGAACTTGTGTAAATCACTCTTTCTAGTAAATTGCTCTACATTTTTGCGAACTTAATACATATTATAGTGTAGATAAAGTAAAGTGCGTTTTCCCAAATATACAAGTGGCGTTTAAAGAAAGAAAGAAAGAAAAATTTATTACGATGAACATCACTTATACCATGACAGAGAAAAAGACAGAAATGGCACATAAATATTACAAATTTCCTTGTAATATTTAAGCAATAGAGGGCCCACACAGCCTCTGTGCTTAAGGCCTCGGATACTCTTAATCCGCCCCTGGTTACAGGGAAACCTATAATAATATTTTTTCGTCAATTTATGAAAATATCAAATTAGCCCGTAATCCTGAATCCTGATACATAAAGTTAGCCTATTAATTTAACACAGGTACGAACGACTGTACTCAGTGTTGCACTATCAAATGCAATTGACGCGCCTCTATGCCAGGGTTTTTATGTTCCTGGTCAGGCTATAAAATGCAGATTTTTATGAACTTGCTGCAATATTTAATTAATTTGTCGGCCGTTTGGTGTAGTGGTTCAGAACGGACTACTATGCCGAGAGGTCCCGGGTTCGATTCCCGGCCGGGCAGAAATTGAAATGATGAATTTTAATTTCTGTGACGGGTCTGGGTGTGACTATGCATAATATTTATGTATTTAAAAAATAAAGTATATGTATAAGTAGTATATCCGTTAAGCTAGCACCCATAACACAAGCATTAAGTTGCTTACTTTGGGGCTAGCTGGCGCTGTGTGAAATTGTCCAAAGATTTATAAAAAAAAAAAAAAATATTATTTCCACATCATTTGATAACCAAGAAATGTTAATTGTGTTAGTGGGGAAAAAATACAGGATGTTTAGAGTAGAGAGTTACAGACTCTACTCTTTTAAGTATTAGGTAGTTTTGTAATACATATTTTTAAAACTAGATTTAACGTAAATAAAAGATATATTTCATACTTATACCATCAATACTTTTAATGTATTTAATTTTATTGCACCTAAGTTACTAATATTTTTTCACAATATTCTTTTATGGTCATGGCCACAAATATTTGGTAAAAAGAATATTATATCTCCTGAATGTTTTATTATAAATCTTTCTTTTTGTCCTTTATGAAAATCCTGAAATCATTTATTTTAATTCAGTCAACAACTTTCAGCTATGTAAAATATTTATCTAGTGAAATTAAAAGAACGCAAAATACTACCAGTATGGGAGAATTTACCTTCTGTAGTTGATCTGAGAATCCTTCACTTTGATTGGTCAAAAAGCGATATAGCGGGAAGCGAGACAAAGTTTTAAAACATTATTTTTAAATCTCCATTGGTGAGAAATTAACAAATTGACTCTTTAGTACGTAACATTTATTTATTTTATATTAACATTTATAATTTAACAAAACAATTACTTTCACATCAAACTTACAGTTATTTTTAAGTAACACTCACACGTAAATAAAACAAACTATAAATCTACTATATTGTTCTTAAAAAGGTAAATACTACACAAATGATACAGTCAGACTTAAAACTAATTAGGTAGTTACTTACTTTAAGGTAAAAACAAGATAAAAATAATCTTCGTATTTAGGTAGGTACTAAGGTACTTAGTTCTTAAAATAGACGTAGAAGAATGCAAGAAAAGAAGTAGGTACAATACTTGCCGTTTTTGTAATTTGATCAAGATCGTTTTTTCCACAACTTTAATGAATTGCCTGAAAACTTTAATTAACATTCACTGCAATCATACCTACTTAATAACTTCTGATATAATAGAACAATAATGTAAAATAATATTTTACTGCTCTACCTGCAAATTACAGATTTATTTAAATATTATAATAGTAGAAATGCAATCGTAATTTGTAACATACATAAAATTGACTTTATTTTAGGTAATATTATTATTTATAATGTTATAATTTATCTTACTAATCGCAAAGACACTCGTGTATGCACTTTAATAACATTAAACAGCATGTTAACTGTAAATTACTTAACTAACTTCAATGCATGATGATGAATGATGATTGATGCACGCATGAGTGAAAAGCGAACGTGGGCCTAATGCACATGCATGAGTTATCATGCAACTGTTTGGATAAATGCATGTAAGCAAAAAGTTAAACTTACTACTATATTTATAAGGTAAAAAAATGTAATAAGTAAGTACCTACGTATATTTTCTATTCTCAAACTTATGTAGGTACGTCTATTCTCAACTTGATGAAGCTTAGTCAACTACATACAAATAAGTACCTACATATAAAACGCAACTTATATTACATAGGTTTTCTCTTCCAGTCAGTATTTCTGGTAAGCTGATACCTTTGAACAATGGAACCGCTCAAATTGAGTGTGATCTTATTAATAAATTAATAATATAGCGTAGTGTCATAAATACCTACTTTGAAAATGTATGAATGTAAAAGTTGTTAGTTGTTACACATTCAACAGAGATGTAGTTATACGTCGTAGTTACTGTTGTTCATTCATTTCAAGCCTTAGAAGTCCTACCAATACAATTTGTAGCTGCTACTAACAAGAGACATCTTACCATTCAATTTACCACAAATACAAAGGCCTAAGGTATTAAAGCCGTAATGCCAAATAAAAGAAGCACAGACATGTTTTGTGCCTAATTGTTGACGAACAACTCGAAACGGGCTCGGCCGACGCGGCTCGACTGGTCGTAGTAGATGTCTCTGGTCCAGATCCGGCACTCGACGTTGATCAGGACCTCACCTGAAGAAGACAAATTAAGACGTAACTCTCACTCTTTTCGTTCATTTAGATACATAGTTTTGTTGGGTTCTCAAGATGGGACAAATCAACTAATATAACAGACGTGTTATACTGTTAGTGTCATCATCATCATCATCATAATTTCAGCCACAGGACGTCCACTGCTGAACATAGGCCTCCCCCAATGACTTCCACATCGCACGGTTGGCAGCGGCCTGCATCCAGCGCCTTCCTGCTACTTTTATCAGGTCGTCGGTCCACCAGTTTGGTAACTGTTGGTGTGTAATAAACTAATAAGGCACGTTAGATCAGACGCCTATAACAGCTCATTTTATTTGACAACAGGATTGTGACTTAAAACGTGCGAACTGAGACATTTTCAAAGACTTGAGCAGCTTATGACGTCAAATAAATCGCAAAGGTTATGTTCTACTCACGGCGAGGATTCTCAAAGTACACGGCGATCAATGGCGGCGGGATCTGGTCGGGGAGGTTCCTGTTAGCGTAGGGGATCTTGTCAGCTGTGTGCAGCCGGCTCAGGGGGAAGCCGGGGGGCAGCCCCGCCGGTATGTATTGGATAGGCCCGATGTTCTCCTTGTCCGAGTTGTACTCGCCGCCGCACGACACCCACACGTAGTCGCCGAAGTGCTGCGCTGGACGATTCATCTGAGGGGAAGAAGGGAACTTATAGGTACTAGGTACATCTAGATGGTAAACAGGTCTGAGAATTTAATGTCAGCTCAACGTACTCAGCTAAAACCTGAATTTCCCTTAATGTTTAGGTGGCATGTTCTGGAAGCTGTAAATGTTTTATAATGTTCAGTCACTAACGCTTGATTGTACGCTGAAAAATATCAGCAGGCTCTTAATTCGGATGATGATGAAGAAGATGTAATGTTCGCGTATTTTAGTATAAAACTTACCATAAATTGCTTCATATTTTCAGGCATTTCCGGAGGAATGGGCAGAGACGTGGACACGTTGTATGGGTGGGGCACCCAGTAGTGAATCTGAAAAATAAATCAGATTGGTAAAGATAACTGTCGCGATAATGCATTTGGGGCGGATGGGGTGGTCTCTTGTTGCGAGTGGGGCTGTTTGCTTATGACGTCATTGGGGCTTACTTACGTGGTTCAGCCGAAGGAACACACAGGGTCTTCCCATGTTGTACCCGTAGAACTCGTCAGCAGTGCACGGCGCCCACATCCTCATTGCTATTTCGCAGTTGTTGGATCGGATGGGGTCGTCCCGCTTGTTGCGAGTCGAGCAAGGCGCGCGAGGCGGGTCCTCGGGGATGGTGGTCTCGTATGCTAGAAAATGGTACAACTCGTAATTTTTTTCCCAAAGAATAAGCCATAGACAATGTCCACAAGTTTATAGTGCTTATCTTCTTTTACGTTGACGTTACGATAAGTAAAGATAACTTACCCTTTAGAAACTCGTTCATCCGCCTGAACCAAGGGTGCCAGCTACCGGTATCTGAAGGTCTGAACTGGATGAGGGGCTGCTCCCAGGTGTACTCCTCGGAACGGGGCCATACTTCCAGTTCTATGTGGGAAACAGATTTAGATAATGGTTTTAAAACATTAGTAAGTAAGTAAACATTAAAGTATATTGTCTCCCTTTATGAAATAAATCGCAAAAGTCAAAATCATTTGGTTTTAAAAATAAACTTCATGATGTTAAAGTAATTTGAAACGAACTGGAAAGTTTGGTTTACTTATTTGCACAGTACAAATTGATGGTTAGTACCAACAAAACCAAGCCTTGAAGAACGAAACTTTTTAATCAGCGACATAAATCAGTTTCAGGTTACATTTTCATTATTAAAATTATCAGAAAAGAACCCAAAGGCTTCAAAATCGTGCTTTTTGTAAAAAAAACAATAGGGGTTTGAGCGGAAATTTAAATTGATCTGTCATGATCAGAATCATGCATGAATGCATGAAGCTTGAGGTAGGTACTTACCCACATAACGTTGATGCAGAAGTAAACCGAGAATCAGACCTAAGACGGCACCTGAAAAATAACGAAAGGAAATGTAAGACTTTTTGTGCATGATTGTAAGTGCTAACGCAGGTACCTATTCACAAAAGATGCTTGCTTAAGTGAAGCAGCAAATCGAACACACAGCGTTGAATAGAGCTCTGTCAGTTTCAAACTGGTCGCGTCATGTGTGGTCTCTCAACGGACGCTATGGCAGAAACTTAGATGCAACTCAAAAGTAACTAGCAGTTTCGTTGCAGTTGCGTTTCACCGTCTGTTCTGGGCCTCATTGGTTTGTGTGTCACCCTGTGCGTCCACGCACACTGAGAGACCTCATAATAATGTTTGTGAATACGGGCGTAAGTATGGTAGGTATATTTTATAATATGTATTTTATTGTTTACTAAAGAAGCATTTGTTGTTGCAACCAAGAGTGCATTGTCCCACTAATCTGCGTGGAAGCTCGCAGGCATCGAAGCCTTTCAAACGTCGCGCTCTCAGATCATAGAAGGCGCTTAACTTAAAAATGGGCGTAGCTTGGTAATTGTACCCACCTATTATTAGTTAACATTATAATGTCCTTTGGTAGACATTAAAATGATTATTTGGAATCAGGTCGATAAGTAACTGTAAAGATGAACTCTAACCCCCTTACTTATAAAAAGTTACACAGTTGTTGAACACTGTTTTAAAATGACATTTCCACTAAAGGTCACTTTAAAACACTGTTCAACGAGCGTGTAAGTTTGATTAGTAAAGGGGTAAGTAAATATTTTAATAAAGGGCGTGGTTTGCTCTTTTAAAGACGCATTAAGAGGCCTACTGCCTGGCTACTTACTTAACGGAGATTTTGCGATGAAAATCAGTGTATTGTTTGAAAGTAAGTAATATTAGCTTCGAAATAAGTATTGTTAACAACTAAGTACGCTTCTAGTAGTAGGTACATTGTTAACGAGCAAAATGTTTATTGTAACAACTTAAATGTTTATTAATTAGGTAGTCACAGCCAATTAATCCAAGTTAATAGGTATATCAATATAAAATTTGTGCGTAACAGAAGCACTGTCATAACCTGAGCATAGTTCGTTAATGAACCTTCAATTTTAATGAGCTCCTTCACCTTTCACTATTAATTAGTTACATAACCTTTACACACTACCAACCGCTCCAAACTTTAATTTGAACGAACAATATGAATATTAAGTACAATGATAAAATTGCTTTAAATCATAAAATATTTTGCTAAATGCTCAGGACTAAGAAAACAATAAATAAACACAAGGTTATGTAAGAAATTTAATAGTTCCAGTGCAAATTTCCATAAAAATGTAAAATACTTTTTTTTTATATTCGCATTGAAAAATTTTACACATATAAAAATACAAGTTTCAAACTTACCGATCACAAGTAAAACAACGGCCACAATCACAATAATTTTCACAGTACGTTTTTCCAAACCCATTTTGAATCACAACTTGCACTACTTTCTCCTGACAAAAAGATCACTGCAATAATGTAATACTGAGAGTATCGGATCATAAAAGGTACAGGCGCCAATGCGTGCGAGCGGAGAGAAGAGATCCAACTGAATAACGCACTGTCGGGAGGCGCCGATAAGGCGGGAGGATAATGTGCGTTGTACAACGATTCGTAAAGTAAATTGGGGTAATCTTAGTGACAAGACTTTAATTGAGATAAGTAGTCACCGATCGAAAGCAACATCGAATTATATTTTAACGTGAAATTCTTTTTAATTTTGATAGAGAATTTTGAATTGAAAAAAGGGAAATACTAATGGGTTAGAATTTGTATTTCCTTTTTTTCAATTTCGCAGGGTGTCACCTAGTAGAGGTTTAAAGATATTCGGCTCCCTTTGGCAATAAAAGGATCCGTCCTAATTACATAACTACCTACTAAAGAACTAAATGTTCAAAGCATAAAAAAGTATTTTTGGAAAAAGAAAACTTATTTTACAGACTCGTTCTCGTAAATACCTAGCTAAGGTAAGTACCTAGTATGTCACATAGTTCAAAATGAAAGTAGGGTTGACTTAGTCAAGAAAAGTAGGTCTATAAGTATCAGTAGGTAAACACATACTCAAATGCCTTATACCCCAAATCCGACCACCAAAAGTCCGCAATCTTTGGTCAATGTACGGTTCCGCCTGCGATTCGCGCCCGGCAGACGAGGCGGCAGCGCAGCCCGACTGTCTGGCGCCTCTGTCTCAAATATTACAACCATCGTACTAGATTCTCACCCCTGGTAAAAGCAGAGTGGATGAAAACCTTCCAAACTGTATAAACACAATTGGGGATGTTAAACACTTGTATAAGTAAGAGAAGAGATACTTACTGTTGGTAACAGTAAGTATCTGCTTAGGAAACATTAGTAAAAAAACATTTTGGTGTCTTAGAAGATTTTTTCCCGTAAGTACGCTGTTTTTTTACTCTCCTGTAAACTTGTAATTTTTGACATAGAACAAATTGCAATATGAACGACGTTATGTGTGCTTCTTACATAATGTTACAATTATGACCTACCTACCTAACAAAAGTGGTCAGTAAATGTACCTACTTTTACATTCAATCAAAAAGTATTGCCATTCCTGTCTTTGATGGAAGTGAGGTGAAATTTCACTTTACAGCTAGTTACATCATTAATTTGTTCATCTAATGACTTGTTATACAAACTTGTGTCATTGTTTATTTAGTCTACAACCCAGCCTTCTGCATAATAGGCCACCGGGCCGTTCCCTTTCCACTCGATACGTGTCCTACATCAGACAGTCATGTTGCCAAGTGGCAGTGGTCGCCTGGGTATTATCAGTTCAGTAACTTCAGCTGAACTGACATCCATCAGGGAAGAATGTTCCTCTAGTAGCGACCTCGGACTGGCGGACGAAGGGCCTATCAGTGGTGAATGGCCCGATAACTTATTAGCCCAGTAGACTGCTCATAAGACATTCTTTAGGAAAAGCCTATCAGACAGAAAACTTCCAAAGACTAATCACGAATGAGGTACATGCAAGAATTTATTTTCTTCACGAAATACAACATTATACCTAATTTCTCCAAGAAGCTTTTATAGGTAGGCAGCACTTTAATGGAAACGTTTAGAAATAGCATTCCTTGTGGGCGCAGTTTGCAGGGAGTTGACAGCTGCGGGCGTGGCAGGCTGTAAATAGCTGCGAAACGACTGAACACCATTGGACCTAAACGACACGTTAGCAAAATATTATTTTAAGATAAGTTTATGATGTTTGTTAAAAAAAGTAGCTTCAAGCACTTTTTATTAGGTTTCTAATATAAAGTACAAGTAGTTTTAATTTCATATAATTTTTCAAGTCGCTGACATACTATTATCCCAACGGATAAGCAAGCTGAATTAGTGGCAATGGGCAGGGCACATAGTAGGTACGCAGAACTGACGGCCGATGGGGCAGCCAGGTTCTGGAGTGTAGACCACGTAGAAACGCAGCGTGAGACATCCACCCACAAGGTGAACCGACGACCTCATAAAGATAGCAAGAAGGCGCTAGATGCAGGCCGCTACCAAATATCATGGTCAATATGGAAGTCATTGGGTGAAGACTATGTTCAGCAGTGGACGTCCTGTGGTTGAAATGATGATGATGATGATATTGAATCATTTTTCGAAATATCCAATACTTAGGGAAAGTATAATGCTCTATCTACATTATAATAGGGACTGAAAAAGTTCAAGAATTTGTTTGCGAATAAATTATTTGTGCTTTTGACGAAAACAACTTACTTTGTAAGGTTCTCTTAGTAGGGGCAACATCACAATAAGTAGGTTTATGCTGTTTACTCGCACATAGATCGGGCTGAGGTTGACGACATCGGCGGGTGTGATCACAAGGACAGTTGGAGATCATACAACTTATTGGTAGATTGATAGTTTATTTATTTGTTTAGCTTTGTTAAGATTTATTTAAATGCTTTTCGTACTTATATGTATGTAATTAAAGCCAATGAATAAATAGTACGGCGCTGACGTGTGAATCAAAATATGATAGTTTACATAACTTATACTCGTACCTGTAATTGTATAAAATTACCGTAGCTACGAAGTGCTACGAACTAGCTACGAACATCGAATTAACAATTTGTTTTTTGACTAACAACCTCATGAAACAGACCTTTTAAAGTATGAATATAATCACAAAATGTATACCTTGGTAGTCTAGGTACACATGCTTGAGATTTATGTAGTTTTGAGCTTGATTTCATATTAGGCACCTGTTTCAGTGGATCCAACTTATTGTTTATGTTATACTCGTACATCAGCTTTTGGCACACACCGTAATTCGAGACAAACTAGAGATGGCCATATAAATCCGACCCCAACAGACAAAGGCCTTAACTAGGCCACGGGGTGCAGGCGCCGCTCTGTCGCGCGAGGGTCGCAAAATGTCGGTACCCTCCGCCCGCCCTTGCAATTCGGGCGCCTTGCAAAATCGTTTTAGGGCGCTTTCGCACTACGCTACGTCCGAGCCGAATCCGGTCCGAATCCGTCAAAATACGGAATAATAGAGAAATCGGATTTGGTTCCTAAATAAGTAGTTCTACGATTACTCTGGACCGCATTTTCATGAATTCGGAACGGATGTCGGATGTAGTGTGAAACCGCTCTTAGGGCTGTGCTTTGCATGTAGTGTGTATAATAATAATACAGTTGGTAAATGTCTCTGCAAATTTATTGAAAGGAAAATCGGCAGTTTATAATATCGTAAAAGAAAATGACATTATCATATTACAATAATGATGTTTTTCATTATTTATTACCTACCTTTTAGTTTGATACTAATAATATTCTTTAATACTACTCGTGTTGAATTTTATTTAGTCCTATTAACTCATTAATTCTAGCTAGGTAGGTACTTTTTACACGTACCTACCGTACACGTAACTGAAATGGTGCGTTTTCTGGAGGCTGAGACGTGCTGAGACTGTAGGTAAGTACCTTAATAAAAATGGAAAAATACTCACATTTGATTGATTAAAATTTCTTGAATAAAATCTTGGCGGAAAGCAGACTACAATCACACTTCACAAAATGGTGAAATCTTCAAGGGTTAATTAAAAATTCACACATTGTCATGTTACTATACGTACTTATCTTCGCCTTTTCTTGTAATAATTGTGCATGTAATATTTTTTCTATTTCGTAGACGTTCAACGTTAAATGTTATTTAGCAAGACTCGTTTATTAACTACCCTTACAAATAGGTAGTATCGAAAAAGCATCGTAGTAGACAATTTATTGCGGTGAGGTTCGTGCGAAAAAAAATGTTTTGGACTACACTATGGACTATAGGTCGTTTAGATCAGCTAGTATGTCACAATATCTATTTTGTGGTTAGGACGTATGTAACTTTTTGGCACAAAACAATATTAGCAGCTCCATATTGAACGCCTGTAGAGCTAAACGTGGTAAAGAAGCTACCTTATAATGTAAAGATTGTAATTGTAATTTACAAAAATATTAGACAAGTCACAACTTTTTGGTAAAACGCAAGTAGCTCTACATTGAAAACTTCTAGATAAAATCGTGGTAGGTTTTGTTATTTTTGTGTTTTATTTTATTTCATGCGTGTAATTATTAATATTTTCTTTGTCATCATCACAAAAAATAGTTATGTTTTGGACCTCATGCTAGTGATGGTAGAGATACGAGGTATCAAAGTGCAGTTTCCAATTTATTTTAATGTGACTTGTGTGCATTTTTTTCGGATGGTATGTTAAAAAATAATGCAGTTAGTAATGATTGAAAGATTTAAAGGCATAAAAAACACTATACATTTTTCAGCAGCATTTACATTACAAAATCAAAGTCAGATGTCTTAGAGGTTTACATTCATCACTTTTCTTTGAATTGCTTTGCTTTGCTACCTACACCACCGTTAGGTAAAGACGAACTTTCTCCATTTTGGTAAAAACAATCATAATATTTCATCATCATCATCATCATTTCAGCCACAGGACGTCCACTGCTGAACATAGGCCTCCCCCAATGACTTCCACATCGCACGGTTGGTAGCGGCCTGCATCCAGCGCCTTCCCGCTACCTTTATCAGGTCGTCGGTCCACCTTGTGGGTGGACGTCCCACGCTGCGTTTTCCGGTACGTTTTCTTTACGAGATCATAATATGAGTATCTTTAATAGGCTCAGCCATAAAATTGTACATTGTTTTTGTGGCTCAGCTGAGCCAATTTTAAAATTTTATATTTTACAATAAAAAAAGACTGACAAAGGTGACTGAGTTTCTTCCGCCACTTCTTCTCAGCACCAGCCCATAAGTTGTCCCGACGTGGTGGTAGGGCAGGCTATATTTGGTACGTGTATAAGTGCCCTAGTAAGAGCATAAGTAGGTTATGTACTGAATAAAATATTTGAATTTGAATTTTTTATGCTTTATCTTCGTTAAAAATATATGTACAGGTTCCCGTCAGCTTAAAGTTGTTAAACCTGATCTGAAGAATATTGATCATAAAAAATGTTTACCTACTGTCATCAATTTAATTCAATCAATTTAATATTCAGGGCAAGGTACAGGAGAGTGGGTAGGTACTTAAAATGAAACTCNTCACTGGCACATCTGCATGGCAAATCTGCGGTCTATGTCATGATACGGGGGGGGGGGATTGTCTTTCAATCTTGGAATCGGTAGGTAACCCCAAAATCCTACCAGGGGGTGTCATAGGACTTGTGACGGGGGGGAGGGGGGGTGATCGCCCCGGGTGCCAACCCATGCTACGCCGCCACTGATTTACATTACAAAATCAAAATCAGAGGTCTTATAGACTTTCACATTCATCACTTTTGGTGGGATAAAGAGCAAGAGCTTTTTGGTAAAAAAAGAATATAGTTATTCTGATCTAAAAATTTGTAGGTCCATGATTCTGATTAAAAGATGATCTTTAGTGGGCTCAGCAATAAAATAGATTGTTTTGTGGCTCAGCTTAGGGTAAGATTTTCAGCATTTTGTGCTTTTTCTTCGTTGAAAATATACGAGTATGTGGAGGTTCCTAGTCAGCTTAGTTGCTACCTGACCTGAAGATTTATTGATCGTAAATGTTTCAATCAATTTAAAATTCTGGATAAGGTACAGGCGAGAGGGTAGGTAGGTACTTTAAATGAAACTCACATCGGACCTAAAGTAGAACCAACTATTGCGTGTTTATTGACATATCGTCCAGAAAACATTACATAATAAATATCATTATTTTAAATTTTATTTGAAGCGTGAAAACAAACTTAACTTAGGGCGCCATGTGGCTTATTCTAAAACGAATATAAATTAATGGCCGACTATGTGGCTATTGCTACCGGCTGCGTGGCTTCTACCGCAGCTTGCTGGCGACGAACTGGTGACCGCAGCGCGAGCTTGGCAGTGATAGCGTTGTCAAAGTCAACTTGGTGACCAGTTGGTTGCCTTGGCATTCCGACCCGCCAGTCGATTGGCCGGCGACAACCCAACAACCAGTCAGCTAGCCGATTTATTTGCTAGCTGACCGATGGCTGAGCCATGCGATGACTGTGGGGCACGATTTTGTATTTGGCCGACTGCCATTATGAGGCTGTGATAGGTGTTTAGCTGACCAGCTGACCGTTTACTGATTAATTTTATTATCATTTACCAATTACATACCGAAACAATTTGTGCACTTCAGTCAGAATATTTATTGTGTATGAACATACAACCAATCTTTGAACTAACAACAGACAATCGTTGAACCGATCCAGTCAGTCAAATAAAGAGTTGCGGGTATACAAGACTGCTTATTCTAATGACTTTTTAAGAACGCAGCAACTCGGTCAATTGACTGGCGGCTGGTGTAAAGTTTACATAATCTTCTACTTTCTAATGCACTTTTTTGAGTCGTTGCATCACATAACCAGACCTATCAATCAACTGCTCAGTGGTAAAGGCGCATCTGGTAGTTGAACAGTAGCTTTTAAACATCTTTTTTGTCACTAAAAATGGCTTGTAGACCTAAACTCACGCTCTGCGCACCTTGCCGTTCGTCTCACCCTAAAGTCAAGTCAACCACGGTTCGGTTCCACTGTGAAACGAAGAAGAACTTCCTGGCTGATGGCTTGGAATTTTCAGTCAGGAAGCTCAGTGGATGTAGTATTTGATAAGGGTTTCCTGGCTGCTACATCCCATGGTCAGCCCGGATCCTTTGAGGTAAATGCGCTAAACCACTCACTTGCCTTGAGGCTAGTAAGTAACTTGCGAATCACCGTAACTCCAAGTTGGTCAGGATGTTTTGAATAGTCAGGGATGCACTGTGAAATGAAGATTAAATCCTTCTAGCTGTCACATCGATCGGCCAAAAAGGTTTGAGGTAGTTTACGCTAACCCGCTCATTCGCTTGGCGGCGAGCAGGCACCTTGCAAATCACAGTGTCTTCCAGCTCCTTGCGATGTTTGAATAACCACGGTTTCACGGTGCAACTGAGATCTTCCTGGCTGCCACAGCCCATGGTCAGCCGGGAAGGGGGGTGGTTGCGCTGACCCGCTCACTTGCCCTAGGACGAGCTGGCACCTTGTCGATTACTTGTCATCAAGTCGGGATGTTTCCACGGTTCCACAAAAAATCAAAAATAATATTCCTGGGGTCAATCAGGAATAAATAATAACAATAGCAAGAATTGTTGTGGCCCACGTGCATNTCGTGCATCTGGTGAACAAGATGCAAGGTAATACGACAGTGCCGAAGATATTATTTTGAATGTTTTACAAGGTGCGCGTGACCCTTAAATATAAAGGGCCGTTTAAACAATCGCTCATTCGCATTCTCTCAATTATCCTGAGTGAAAACTGACTGATACAAAGACACTCTCCAATAATCAAGCCCACTAAAAAGGGTTGATGATGTTTCTCTTTATTTCCCTCATCATTCACTCACAAGTTATTCAAACCATTCCTTAAACGCTACTTCGATAGCTTTTTTCTTCCCGAGTTCGTTCGTTCGTTCGTTTCAGCCAAATGACGTCCACTGCTGGACAAAGGCCGAGTGCTTAGATAGAATTCAGTCAGTCAAATGTCTTCTTTATGGTCTTCTCACTTGTGTATTGTTCCGTTGTATTATCATTGAAGTGATTTTCTCTGAATCACAGCTTAGTTTAGTTTAGTTCCTATTATTATTTGAAGTTAATCTTATACAAAAAACCATTCACTCACTTCTAGCCTACAAACCATTATTTCTTAACTTCACCAGCTGTCGGTACTAGCAAATCAACTTATCGATGTCTGAGCATCAGTTGATTGTTTGGGATGTCTGTGATATTTAAACAGACACCTCATTAGAGCAAGACGCTATCAACCTGTTAAGGACTGAGACAGTCAGCAACTCATTCGATGTTAATAGTTTGAAACCACGATAGCCGAATGGTGAAGAGGAACACGGTTTCAAATCCCACTGCCGCTCACATACATTTCACACAAACATTTCTTTAGCTTACCACGAGTGACTAACGGGACTATATTAATATTCTATTGGTTTCTCAATGGCTAAGATGACAGCTGGTCAATGACAGTAAAAGCTTTGATTAGCATCTCCAGCTAGACTGAGATGTCTGATCACTCGTACAGACACCTCACTAGAGCAAGTACCTATCAATTTTTTGTGGACTGAGACAGTCAACTACTTAATCGATGTTGATATTAGTTTGACTGACAATGGCTGTGATGCCGAATCGATGTCCAGGTGGAAAGGCCGAGGCGATAATCGGCAATGGTTGCTTGTTCAGTCAATGGATTCCTGAGACGGTCAGCTGGTCGAAGGCTGGTTTCGGTGGGTGAGGTGTGGGTGGTGGGTGGGTTCTAGTCAGTCCGGCTAGCGAGTCAACAGGCTGGCGGGCAGGGGGCCGTTTAGCCGCGGTCCACCATCAGCTCGAAGTGAACTGAGCCGCGCCGCTCGTAGCGGTCGTATTGGATGTTCTTCGCCCATGCTTTGCACTCGATGTTGATTAAAACACCCGCTGGAAAGTGAAAAGTTGGAGTTTAGATAATTTTCAAGTGCTGGGTTTTAGATAAAGCGCTAATACGTAAAAGTATACATTGTAATATTCTGCTTTTGTTGAACAAATACGCGTTTTAAATCGATCCGTTTTTAAAGTCCAGAACTTATAGTTTAGTTAGTTTAGCAGGGCAATCGAATACCGCACTTAGCCTAACTTAGTCCAGAACTTATGTTCTGATTAATAAAGGTTACGGATACTTACTCCTGGGCTTCTCGAAGAGCACAGCAACCAGGGGGCTCAGGTAGCCCTCCTTGTTGGTGAAGGGGTAGTAGAAGGCCGGGAAGCCTCGTCGCGGGATGTACTGCACCGGGCCGATGTTCTCCACGTCAGCAGGATTCTCACCTTCGCAGGACACCCACACGGTGTTTGCTTCTGGTTTGCCAGACTGGAAAAAACAGCACTCTTGAGATTCCGCTCTCCATGACCGAATAAATCATCATTTCAGATATAGGACGTCCACTGCTGAACATAGGCCTCCCTTAATGACTTCCACATCGCATGGTTGGTAGAGCGGCCTGCATGTAGCGCCTTCCTGCAACCTTTATTAGGTTTATCAGGATCAAATTGATAATATAACTAATAATAATATGATAAAATACAATAAGCTTGTACGAGTAAGTTATAATACTTACGACCATCTTGATGTGCTGTTTCAGGTCATCAGGCATGTTGGAGGGGACATCCTCGGTGCTGTTGTATGGGTCGGGCACCCAGTTGAAGATCTGGAAATAGTCATGGAGTTTTTTACTTGTAAGTCGCTTTTGCCTTCTATTTTTGTCTAACTCTAAATTACAACTAGAAGTCGAAGGTGGCGATAGAACTTAATAATCAAGATGTTATGTTATTAGTTACAGTGCCATATAGCGTAGCTTGTTGAAGTAATTAGATATTCCTGATGATACCTCATTCGGTGGGTGCTTAGAGAGAATTCACGATGACCACAATATCTGATGAGGAGTTTCTCTTCTACTTGATCTAAGAGATGATGACCATAGACTAACCATAACTGTACAACCTAACCATAGAAACTTTAAAGGCCAATGTGTAACCCACTTAATTTTAGGCTGCAGGTGTCAAACAAGGTTGTATGTTTTTTTAATAAAGATAAATAAATAAAGTGTAATAAGAAGAAAAATCCTTGACTAAGAGAAGGATGCTAATTTTGGATGCTAACCTTATTGAGCTTCAAGAACACGCAAGGGCCGGCCTCCTCGTAGTTGTACTGGTTGGCGGAGGTGCAAGGGTGGAAGTCGTCGACGGGGACGTCGCAGACCTGCTTCTCGCCCAGGTCTCGCGAGCCGGTGTTGGGGTTGCAGGCCACGCGGTTCTCCGCTCCAGTCGCCTCGCCGCTGCCGCTGCCCTTCTTGCGGTATTCTGGAGAAGAGAAGGTAAAGCTGAATGGTATTTTTTTTATAGAACAAGGCAGGTATTTCAGGGAAATCTGTAATAAACAACTGCAAGGATTGTGAAGTTGGTTTCTATAGGCAACTGTACTGGTACTAGTACAGTACTGAACGAAATGAAGTAATTTTTTCATGGGAAATAATAATGGGACTCTTCATACCACGAGTCGTCGTCGAACCGAATGACGTCCACTGCTGGACAAAGGTCTGCCCCAAGGATTTGCACAAAGACTGGTCCTATGCCGCCCGCATCCAGGCAACTCCCGCGACCAACACCAGATCGTCGGTCCACTTAGTGGGAGGCCTGCCCACACTACGTCTTCCGGTTCGTGGTCGCCACTCGAGAACTTTTCTGCCCCAGCGGCCATCAGCTCTGTGAGCTACTACTACTACGAGTAAAATACAAGAACCTAGCAAGAAAACAGTAAGTTCCACTCACGGTCCAGGTACTCATCGATGATCTTGGCCCACTTCAGCACGGAGCCCTTGTCGTTGGCCCGGTAGTAGATCAGCGTGCTCTCCACGTTGGCCGAGTCGGGCATGGGTCGGAAGCCCAGACCTGGTGAAGGAAAACCAATTCATCAGGTAAATAAAACTGTCAAAACGTCCCCTTCTTGTTTAATGAGACTCTATTGATCTTGACATACCTAATGCCTATATAGCCCCATAGCCCCTCGTGGTAAGCTAAATATGGTTGAGTTACGAGTGGGTTAGCCAGAAAATAGTCGAGCGGGATTCGAACCCGCGTCCCTCGGATCTCGAGTCCGACCCCTTCACTGTTCGGCTATCGTGGCTTCAGTATTTGTATTACTGTTCTTACCTGGGTTGTTGCCAATGAGTGAGCCCTCCAGTTGCCACTTGGGCATCTTGGAGTCCAGGGTCTGGTAGAAGATGGCCAGCATGGCCGCGAAGAACCCGACCAGGATGGCATAGAAGATTAGGTAGAATAGTAGAATTTTAGCTGTGGACAATAAAATGCATAAGTTAGGTAATTAATTTAATTAACGATTGAAAAGATAGTATATTTAACTAGTGGTGCCCGCGACTTCGTATGCATGAATAACCCTTATCACCCAGGGGTATGAAAATAGTTTACGTCCTATTTTCAGACCTACTGAATACACAAAATTTCATAAGAATCGGTCAAGCAGTTTCGGAGGAGATTTTTGAGAATTTTTATATTAGAGATTTCCAAATATACCAAAAATCTTCAAAATCGTAACAGATCTGAAATGTATCGCGACAATATCATCTAAGAGTAGGTGTACCTCTCGTTCGACTGCTAATTGCTGCAAGTGGTCAATGGGAGTTTCCTACGAATTGTTGGCGAACTGACCCGTTTTCGCTGCCTACGCGGAATTAGGAGAATTGATTGTTTTAGTATCATTACACATAGTTCGGGAGTTCAAGTTCACGTCTGTGAAACAATACATTAAAATGTTAGCCATGACATAATCCATTTTAATATCAAGTAACCAGACGAAAAGCTCATTGAGGTGCTGAAGAGTTTGCATTCTCTCCACTAGGTTCTGAAAGTTCATCTTAAAAATGAAACGAGGTAGTTAAATGATAAGTTACTCGTTTAGCCTAGGCGCAGACCACCGACTTTAGTTGGCCGATAGTTGGGCCCGATTCTATTTTGTATGAAGAATCGGCCGATACCAAATCAGTGTAATGTGCGCATTGTGCGCACTTCCATACATGCCCATATTGTCCATACTGATTAACTGCCCGACTAAACTATCGGCCGACGAAAAATCGGTGGTCTGCGCCTAATCTTATACTACTTACTCGTATTTTTTTAAGTTTTAGTAGAGTTTTAGGGCTAGATGTAGTTGGTGTGCTCTTTGCATCTCTGATGCATCGGCTACAAATTATTCATTTTTGTGCAATATCGACTGTGGGGCTTTTAAGGTAGGACATGTGGATAAAACAATTAAAACAATTGTCAAACAGTACGTCCCCCAATCCTTCAAATCACAAAGACTCGAAACCCCATCATCATCCTAGAGCTGTGCAGCCTTGGCCCAAATGTGTCTGTCTCGGTTCGCGCACGCGCGCTAATCACCCCACTAATTATTATGAAACTGCACTAGTTAGTGCAGCCGGATTGTCCGCTAGGACCAATATAGAGCACCGCGAAATTTTCGGGGCAATTCAAAGGGGATTATTGCTCTTAAAAGTGTGGTTAACTTCCACTGAAAATATAAAACACTTCTTTGTTTCGCGGAAGCGTAAAAGTAAGCATTAATTATATTATTAACTTATCCAGTTATTAATAAAAGTTACACCTTAGTTGAACTCTGGCTTAAATTGTCATTTCGTATGGAAATGTCATTTTAATCCAGGGTCCATCCTAGGCGTAACTTTTTATTAATAAGGGGGTTAATGTTTTCTATTCTACTCATGTTTCTCATGTGCTCAAAGCTAGTATGTTCATTTAACTTAAATGAGATTTTAATCTATTCATAATATAAACGCAATTAAGCAGTGTCATGGATGTAGGTACGAGTAGAATCATGAAACACATTTTTAATTCACTTTCCTTCGTCTCTTATGACAAAACCCTGGTGCCATAAGCTAGCCACCATAATCTCTAATATAACGTAACACACCCTCTGAAACATGGAATCATATTTCTTGTCGATCAATAAAGCCTTCGAAGTTCTAACCAAACAAAATCATAAAGTTATGTTCTACTTATGTAATCCTGATATACTTTGGGTTCAATTTATTCTTAGTGAGCTTAGTAGGTAGAATTTAAGTTTCTAATGCCTGTTTTCACCATCAATCCCTAATTTTTAAGTGACCCCTATGGTAACAATTTTAAAACAAATATAACAGGAATTTTGTTTACATAGGGGTCACTTAAAAATTAGGGATTGATGGTGAAAACGGGCATAATAGTAGCATTGGGTACCACAGAATAGCATAGATTACCTAGTAGTTCCTCCTATTACTGAAAGAAATTTTCCATCTTAAGAGATGATGTATTAAATTTCCTACGGAAGCTTAGTATATCTAGATGACTTCACGTCTGTATCATTATTCCAAAAAATATATCCATCCAGGCTTAAATCTAGCAATGGAGTGCAGTATTACTCGTACTACTATAAACTACAAACATCATATCACACAACTCGCCTAGCAGTCCAATCGATACATCCATCAAATGACCTATTACTATGAAGGGTGGGTGCACGGATTGCAGCGCAGTGCATCGCGCCGGTCACGGGGCGTGCGCAAAGCAGGTGCGAATCGGGAAGTACGCGGTGCTAAATCAATATTAACTGTTCTATTAAAGCAAATTGCCAGTGAGATTTATACTTTGACAGCTTTGAGATATAGGGAAAAATGATTGACTGATGGAAGATTATATTTAAAAGAGCTTTTCATCAAATGCGATTGAAAAGTCCAAGTTTTGCTGAGATTTGAGTGTTATGCAACGGTATCACACACATACGACCCTAAAACTCAATACTAACTTGATACGAAGCGAATATACCTACCCAAAAGTACCCTAATAACTAGCCATGTTAATGATGGTACTCATAAGAGCATAACTAGAATACTTTAAGTGCTTTTAGTCTTGAAAGCTTTGGTAGAGTCAATGAGCTTTGCTATGTAATAACGAGGCTGAAAGTCGAGAAGAAAATCGGTTTTCTTTTTCCATCATGCTTTTCTTTAGAAAAGCTCCCGTCACGGTCTCTTTATATTAAATCGCTGGCCTGTTCGTGATTTGTGTTATTTATGTTTCAGTAAGTCGTTACTTTATTCAGCTCTACCATATTTAACGGTTATTGTTTGAAATACTAAAAATACCCTTTTACACTATGACTTCATGACGATTTTGCTCATATTCTTGAAAAGATCAATGATCCAAAATCTTCAACACATGTCAGGATTGGTTAGTTAACCTCGTAGTGGAATGCATACGTTTTAGCTCATGACCGTCTAAAGTACAAGTACCTACTTACAGTGCCGTAACTAGGGCGGTGCCAGCGGTGCCCAGGCACAGGGCGCAGACCCTGGAGGGGCGCAGAAATGACCAGACCAAGCATTTTTCAAGGGCGCAGTTTTGAAAGCTCGCACCGGGCGCATAAAAGGCTAGTTACGGCACTGCCTACTTAGTAAGGTTACCTAGGTTATTACCTAGGTACTAAACTCAAAATAACGAACCTAAGGATTCGGCTGTTTTCGTGAAAATCCGGACGTCCTTGGATCGATCTCCGCAAGGACGTTGCGCGCGCACCGATGGGCGCGAAAACTGCGCGCGACGATCTTATTAATCTGTGCCCATGTTTATTTTTAAATGTCATTTTTTATTAACACACGATAATGAGGTCAATAATTCATATTTTTGCGCAATTAATTATCTCTGTTGACAGTTTTCCGTAAGTTATTAGTGCAAAATAACAAAAGAACAATACACGATCTCAAGAACGGTCGTAGGGCTCTAAGACCTTTAGCTAGAGGTCTAGTGATGTCAAATGTCAATTTTAAAAGTATTGCGATCTCCATTTTGAATCTCTTTGTCTTCATGGGGTAATTTTACAATACTTGAGTAGGTATTCCTCTTTGTTATAACATTTTCATTTTGTAACTTATAGGGTGTTTATTCATGGTTAACGATTAGCACCACTCTTAATTCAAACTAATCTTCGTACACTTCATGCTCACAGAATAACAACTTGGGAGGAAAATTCATTACGTAACAACCATTTTAAAACATAAATTCGACCAAGAAATTGTGAATAACTGGACTAAGAAATTATAGCGTTGCCCTAAAACAGTTTTTCCGAATCAAAAATGCACGACTCATTGATTTCCCTCCAAAAGTCATTAGCTACAGATGACGAAAATTAAAAAAGTCGACTCACCCCAGCTTGATCCGGTGCGGCCAAGAAACTGCCCCGTCTCGGAATTCCATAGGAAAATCCTGAATGACTCCCATTTTCCTAGATCCGGTGGGGGAGCGTAATATTGTTCAGCAACTTTGTTCTTGTCTGCCATGTTGCACCGCCGAGCCGGACTGCGGTAAGAATCGATTGTCGCCTTCGCCCCAGAGCTGGTCCCCTCCCGCGCCCCGCACTACCCTCCAACCCCGAACTCCCATTACATAACGATTACGTAAAGCCTGCGCGCGCAGGGTCAGACCTAGTTTTCCGGCCAGTATCGTTTGACCTCCCATACCTTAATATTTACAATAGAATAAGACCACTTTATATTGGGCAGGATTTAGGACTTAAATTCGAACAGCAATTTTAAACCGTATTTTGGTAGGGGTAGATGCCAATTTGGAGTTGAAAGGTTTCGATCTGAATTTTTGTCTGTCTGGCTGCCATATCTGAAGGAAATATAGAGTACGCTGATAGGAAGTAATGGGAATTAGCAGTGTCTTTGTCCTTATTGGCTTGCGTAGACAAGACAATTGCTTGTGCTATTTGATAGCCCATTTTCTGTTACCGGAACATTTTTTTAGTGGTCCACTTAAGTTATGGTAGTAATTATTCACTTATTGGTAGTGACAGTCACTTATGAAAAAAAAATAGAGTCCTATCTGTGGAATTTGAAGGGGTAAAAAGCTGTGTAGGCAATGGCATCATACAAGGAACTTATTGCTCAAAATAATTTATTAAATACATCACATGATTTATGCTCATGCACTAAAACCCTCTTAAAAGTAATTAAGTAAATAGGTACATGACACAAAAAATAAATAAACAAAAATTAAACTAGTGTCTATTGATCAAATAAATTAATTACATTAAGTATTTAATTATTACTCAATGGCACAATTAAATAAAATAGTTGTTCACTTAAAAACATAAACCTCTATTAATCGCCAAAAAATAACAAATCTTACTGAATACATTTTATTTAAGTAGACATAGTCCAAATATGTCCCTAGATTTGTTTTGAATAGTTACGAGTTTTTTCATTCTCTAGAGTGCATTACTGAGTACTTGGTGATTAATATTCTCGCAACATTGACAAGCGAAGGGAAGATAAAATGATTGCAGTAGGTGATATACATAAAAACATCCACATATACCTACTGCAAATTGGTCTAATCTTAGAAAAACATTAATAATTAGAAATGTAGAGATCAAAATTAACTAAGTTCACATGAAAGATTAGCTAAGTCTTGCTTGAGTGATTTTGCTATGAAAAACTCTAAGGAAAAACCTTACACGGCTGTAGAGTTTTCACTTTTCTCTTGTCCTTTCGGTGAGGGGACTTCATTCACACTTTCTGGCTTAGTCCAAGCCTGACAGACACATGTAGGCCCAGGCCCGCCAGACTGGTGACCAGCAGAAATCTGGAAACCACCACCCTGACCACCAGAACCTTGTCCAATGAACTGGCCACTGGATTGTTGATTGCTGGATCCTTGAAACTGGTTATTTTGCTGATTTTGGTTGTTATTTTGGTACTGCCCCGTAATTTGTTGATTTACATTCTGATATTGTCCAGAATTCTGCTGGTTCTGATTGTACTGCCCTGATATCTGCTGTTGGTTCTGATTTTGATTCTGGTACTGTCCTGTTGATTGCTGGTTTTGATTTTGGTACTGGCCTTGGTTCTGGAGGTAGTTGCCTTGATACTGGCCTTGCGATTGGCTTTGTGTATTACCGTAGCTGGGCTGTTGTCCCTGGTATACAGGGGCAGGGTTTTGAGGGTAGCTGGGTGGTGGGTAACTTGCGGGGTAATTTCCACCGCCTTGAGGTTGGTATCCATTATTGTATGAGTTCTGTAGCTGTGATTGATACTGCGACTGGTAAGCCCCTTGGTTTGGTGCTGGGGGATACTGGTAGTTGGGATACTGGGGCTGGTATCCAGGCTGGGGCTGGTAATTCTGCTGAGTGACCACCTGAGTCTGCTGCTGGACTTGCTGTTGAGTCTGGCCAGTGGTCGAGGGTTTGTGTTTGTGGCTGTGCACTATGTCGATGACACCTCCAATGATCTTCTCTGGGATGAGTAGACCGACCTTCCTGGCCTCTTTTGTGTTAGATGGCTTCGCATGATGGAAGTTTACTGAGATGATCAGCATCTAAAAATTAATAGATTTAATTTAATCTTTTGCTTTTGATTTCATTACTTCACGACGAATTCCAGCGGGATATTTTAAGAGTATTCGTTACAAAATGTAACAGGAATAGATGACGTGGTTAATTAACAATACCGATAGGTCGATATTTTACTAAAAAAATGTACAACTTCTTGATAGGATTTTTAAATGAAATATTAGCAAACTCACAAGTATCGAAAGCTTGGTGTGGCCTTCCATGTTGGCTGGCGAGGGTCCAGTGAGTGTGGAAGGTTCCCCAAGGACACGCCTTTATATCGAATCCTGCGCAGCTCGCCCATTGTGCGTATCTCACAGGGCTGACACTCAACACGTTGTAATTACTTTCGAACTTTCATACGTCAGTTACAGGGTTGTGAAATGTTTAAACTTCAGAAGTTGATAAATTAAATCATGTTTTTGTTAAAATAATTACACTAATCAAACAAGCTCTATATCCGCCATGGAGTTCTATTTTTACTGTCCTCTTTTCAGTATGACTAGATTTTTTCATCGCATCGTCAATTAACACTGGTATCTCGTTAAAAGTGATTAATGGACAGTTAAGTGTGTTTTAGTGTTTAGTGTTAGTTAAAAATAAGTAATAAGTATTAAAGAGTCTCTCTTGTTAACAACATTTGGTAGAGGTATACTGTACGTACAATTAGTGCATTAAAATCATCTGATTAAGATCAGCTCTACCTATTTATCTAGTACTTACATGAGTAAGAAGATTTTATAAAGATTAGATAGATAAAAAACTATACATATACAAAAAACTTCTTATCACACCACACAGATAAAATACGGCATAATTTGGGCTAATTAACCTCAGACGTCCCAAAAAAAACATATTTAAAATTTTCAGGTGGCATGGCAACCCTGAGGTCTCGCATGTCGCGAGTCACATCGCATGTGATCGAAGACGATGCGCGCGAGTTATCTCACCCCTTGAGGAGGTACCGCTACACGGGGATCGATTGGGCTGCGACGGTTTTCGATGATACCCGTTTATCGATATCGATATGGATATGGATATACAAACGAAATTATGAAGCAAATGCATTGCAATGCAAAAACATTGGTCTCTCCCTTTTATATCAAAAACTGGTTATTGAATAAGTAGCTACATATAAAACAAAGTAGAGTCGTCGAGCAGGTCAGGCAGAAATGATAGTAAACATTACTTGTTAGCACTTTAAAAAAAGCTTGTCACAAAGCCAAAGAAGAGTACTACTTACCTAATAAATACGTTTATAGAAGTAATTGGATATGAGTAACTTGCCAACAGGATTTACTAGCTTTTTGATAAATTAGATTTATTTAACTTTATTTAAATATCAAATTAAAAAGTAATAGATATAAATTCATAAAAATAATAGTCTACTAAAATGCGTAGGATCTTCTAACTAATATTTTCTAATTTTGAATTAAATCTTATCGATATCGATATTACGGTTTTCAGCCAGCACTACGTGTCATCTCGTATGATTGACGCGACGCAAGCGCAGTATAAAGGGCACTCTTCCTTCTTTTTTAAAATCAGCCTTCACAACGGATCACTGGGGTCAAGTCCGCAATACCATATCGAATAACAACTCAAACGTTCTCTTTCGCACATACCAGCATCCCATGTCGAGCCAGAGGGATAGCTAGAGCGGATGACACAGAAGTTGGTTTTCAGAGTAGGACCCTTTGTCGAAATGCGATTTATAACTGGCCCAGCAAGAGTTCCGCGAAATTAAAAGGTATTCGTGATCATTGCGGTTAACAATATTTTAATAAATGTAGTTAGTAAATTTGAAGGCAGACGAAATAATCTTTAGGAATAACTGTTACGAACCGTTATTTTATTGAATGGACTTCCTGCTTTTCATCGTAAGTTTGGTTTAAGTCTTTTAAAAGACGGACCATAACAACGATCGTTCAATAATAGTTATGAAACCATTTACGTACCCTAATGAAAAGTTCAAAAAGTCCAAAAGTCGCTAATGATTTTTTTCCCATAAAAAGAAGCTTTCTCAGACCCCAGCCAATAGTCACAAATGCACTCAAAAATTTACCTTAGTAACCTTAAATTAACTAACTACATAAATCAAGCTGTAGTCGGTTACCGAAACCAGTGGCGGTCGGTCATGTTCCGGCTCTATGAATCACTCAGTTTGAATGAACTTAACTTGGTTAATATGTAGACAAAATCTGCATGTTTCTAGTATACTCAGCCTCAATAAAATGCTATTTTTTCTTCTTGTCGGTCCAAGAATGCCTGTCCTAATACAAACTCCGTGGAACGCTATGAATGTAGAATATTATGGGTTTCCTTTCTTCACAGGACAGTGATGTAAATAAAATATGATAAGTATTCGCTGGGATTTATTAGATAAAAAAATAACCTTCCTTCTGGCGCAGTCGGGTAAAAGGCAAAAGCTAAATATTTCAGTGCCCGAGTCTACCTACATCTAGACAGAACGATGTCTAGTGGAGCGTGGAGGCCACCAAGGGAACACACAATCAGCCATGTCCGCTCCATGGCNCCCATGGCGGGCTAGCAACAACTGACTATCATAGAGTAGTGTAGAAGGATGCTAGGTTTCCATTGTAGGAATACAAGATGAAGTAATTTTTAAGATAGTATAAGACAAGCACTGACTGACGGTCTTGATGTACGCTGAGTGGGTGCCTTTTTGTCAGAGGGGCACAAGCAGTTAACTGTCAACTTGTATATTTATCTCTGTTTGTATCTATGTCTTGCCTGCTTGTATACCTTACTTTCAAATAAAAAAGATTTGTATTCTAGATATCTACTTCCATTAAATCTTATTGCATAGCTATTGATATGATATCAACTGCTAGAAGATGAATACTGTAGTACGAGTAGAATGGGAACTGCTACCGGAATCTATATCTTAGTAGGAATGGTAGAAAGGTTTTCAAAGATTAATAAAATTCCAACCATGTACGATCTTATGAATTTTTGATTTCTAAAACATTATGATGTGTTAGGCTCTAACCAGCACAATAAATAAAGTTTAATAACTAGTCTAAGAGCCTAGACAAGGCCGAAGACACATCCCATTGGGTCCCAAGGCGAAGCGCCAGACGATATCCTCGCATAATCACAGCACACAAATTACGCGCGTGAGGGGGCGGCCGAGGAACGGCTTTCAGCAAGATGCACCCATTTTATCAAGAAAATAAGGACCTTAAATAAAACCAGGATACGGAGAGGGAGGTCATTTACTGTTCATGGCAAGAGCACAAACCATTCTAATTTACCAAAGATAAGTGAACTTCTCCTATCGCTGAGCAAAAGGGTGGGAAGTAGTCCTAATCTGCTTTCTCGAAATCACTAGGTTCAAACGGCAAGATATAGTACAAATTGCTTTAATTTCTAACTAGTTTTGTTTGGATAAAAAAAACGAAATAATTGACTCCAAACAAGAAACTGAATCCCCTTGTATCTGAACTCCTATAAAACTTGTCGTTGTTATTTTGTATCTGTTCCAGCTATATTTATTTGCTACTATATTCTGCAAAAGTTAAGCTGCTCGTATGATGCAGATGATTAAAAAGTCCCCGTCCATGCTTAAAGTTAGGTCCTACTTTCATACTGCCGAGTCCAATATTAATCTCACCCGAGCTCGGCCTAGTTAAACATTTCATGTAGATATTATTGCAGTGTAATCTCAGACCAGTAGAACATACATTTAACTCTTTTTTTTCTGAGTTTTTGTTCTTGTATCTATCCACAGAACTTTTGATTAGGTATATCATAATAAAATTTTATTTTTCTGTTGACGTTTTTAGGTTAATGGGAGATTTATAAACCATTTTTAATACAATAGATAATTAAAACAATAAAACACAAAAACAAATTTAAGCACTAAGTAGGTAGAGTCGAGTACAGAATTATATTGTAGGTATATATTATTACACCACTAATAAAAGGTATAGCTTTTTTTACACAAAAATATACATCAGTTGCCTTTACTGCATGACGCCGTCCCATTATCCTGAGTGCGGGCCGCTGGCTGCGCCGGCGCAGTCGCCGCGCGGTACTCTCTCACGCGCGCCTCGCCCGGGACACAGGTGAGCTGGGATTCTCATTTTATGGAAAAACTTTATTTTTTTATGTGTCTAATGTTTCTTTTTCTATTCTTGAATAGGAAATGAGCCCCTTTTGTTCGACTCTATGAACCGAAATCGGTGTACTGGAATCTTTCATTTTTCTGTGTCCTCTTAACTATTTTTTATTATTCATTTTTGTCGTATTAAGTGCAATTGTCAATCATCATAGATTACTAAATATTGTGGAACCCTTTCTAAGAAGAAGAATAGGTAAGAAAGGTACCTATCCTCCTTCTTGTAAGAAATATTTATTGGTAGAAAAGTAGCTCTTTATCGTCTTATTGTTTGATGTTTTCTCCTGCTGTACTATTTATCTCTTTCTTCTCTCCTGTGATCTACGTTAATAAATTCACACACAATGTATTTTCTAAAACGCGTCATTTAGGCTGAGTTGCACCTTCTTACTTTAACTTTGACAAACGTCAAAAATCTGTAAACTCCATACAAAAAGCACCGGTTACCGTTATAGCTACGGTCAAAGCTAGGTGGTGCAACTCAGACTAAGTCTTCTTCAGTTGTTTTACCTTACTGTAATTGTAAAGTTGCCGTAAATGGGAATATCGCCTCATTAATTGATTTACATTTAATTTTAGAGCCAAAAGCGAAATCTAGTCAAGAAGATGACCGTGAAGAAGCGGCCCTCCGACCTGACGAGCCTGGAGCGGTTCAACCTCTACTACAAGGAGAAGGAGGACCCTCTGACGGCTGGGGAGAAGTTCAGGAGGTTCATATGGAACCCGAAGACAAGGCAGTTCTGCGGCAGGACCGGAGCTAGCTGGTGTAAGTCAGTTATCTTACCTTTGTTACCGAAAACTTTTTGGTGAAATGTAATTTTCATAATATGCACATAATAATTTACATCTTAGTCCACTACTTATAAATGAACTGTTCACTGTAGCTATGAAGGTAAATGGACTATAAACTAGCACTAATATTAGAAAACTTTCAAATTCCTCACGTTACAATAAGCTCTTGAGTCCGGAAAGTTTTGTGAGAATGAATAGTTACTTTGAAAATTATAAATAACTTGAAAAAATCGAACTGCCTAAGGCGGGAATTGAACCCACGATTTTTTCAAGTTATTTATAATTTTCAAATTAGTTTGAGATGCGACTCTTAACGCTAAAAATTAAATAACTATGAATAGTTACTTATTTGGAAATATGCTGATTCATATCATAACTAATTTCTTCGAACTTTATGAAACTCAACTTTCAGCATAATAACTACTATTAGACTATGATTTATAAAAGTGGCCAGATTTTCTTTTAATTTTTGTTGTTTTATTATTTAACTAACATTAACGAAATTGATCCTCTTAATATAGTCAACAATTTTTACTAAATTGTGACTCACTTTACATTCCCCGAATCAAAGAAATGGCTTGAAAGCTCGGAAATCCAAGAAAAAGTTATCACAAACAATATGTCTACTTAGAAGTCTTTAATTTTTTCGTTTATCCGCTATATACTCAAGAATTCTTCTACAAAAAAGTACATATTTTTAAGCAAATAGGCCATCAAGTTCCATAATCTTTGCCCCAAATACTCCAAGTCAGTAACGAGTCGCGAGTAAATCAGAAGGAGCTGGGCGGAAGCTCGGGCAATTGTCGCAATGAGCGCATTACGGGCTTCCTGCGCGAGCGGCCACGACCGGACGGCTCAGGGTCTAGCCAATTGGAGACCCAAAAGAACGAGAAAATGTACTTCGACAATGTAAAACGATTGTAAAACCTACGAGTAATTCTTCAAAGAGTAGAGTCACTCAATAAGCGTGATCAGTATCGTCATTAACAACTTCAATGTTTTATAAACCACGATAGCCAAACGGTGAAGGGGTCGGACTGGCCGATTCGCGATCCGGGGAACGCGGGTTCGGTCCCCGCCACCGCTCGACTATTGTGGTGAGCTCACTCGTGATACAAGCATAATTATTTAGCTTAGTACGAGGGGCTAACGGGAGTATTAGTAATTTGTTATTACACAATTTTAAAAAACAATCTACTATGAAATATGTTTACTGATAGACAGATCTTATTTAACTCAGACAAATTGGCAACCAATCTTCATTTATTTGTGTGTTAAAAGTGGTTTTGACCGATACCCTTAATCAAAATAGGTAGTTTTGATAGCTGAAATGGGTCAAAAGTGGTTTTAATATCGATCACCACTTTTGGCCTGATTATTGCAGTCAAAACCGGCTTCGGCTAGTTTTGACTTTCGACTGTAACATGATTGTTAAGTTTACGAGTATCATTCATTTCAATTTAACGTTTTGGAGAATAAAACTTTTCCTTTCTTCCACAGCCAAAATAGCCTTATTCTACTTCATCTTCTACATGGCGCTGGCGATCCTCGTGGCCATCTGCATGTGGACCTTTCTTCAGCTGCTGGACGCACGGAAGCCCATGTGGCAGCTTGAGAGCAGCATCATCGGCACTAACCCAGGGCTGGGCTTCAGGCCCACGCCGCCAGAGGTTGCCAGCAGCGTCATCTGGTACAAGGGAAACGACCCCGGCAGCCACCAGTTCTGGGTGAAGCAGATGTCCAAGTTCTTAACTGGTAAATCGTCTTATCATTTTCCTCATGAATCAGAAGTGCATTAGAGTTTTCGTCGAATTGGAGTTCTTAATTTGGGGTCAGCATCAAAGTTTAAATTATTTGTTATCGTCGAAATAGAGCAACAGTCCGGTTAATGTATCGATTTTATTATTTTGCCTGCGTTTCTCCATTGTATTATTTACATCTACATTTCTCTATTAATATTACTTTCTAATACTATTCTACTATACTTAGAATGCATGTGACGAACCGTTACCGACAAAAATCAAGCTTGCTAAATTAGAGTTCTGACTAATGCAATCACATTTTTATAGTCGCTTCCTTATAACGCCTACACCCAATGTTTCATGAAATAGTTCGGCAGGATATGCAATGTAATAAATACTACTCTATTATGAATCAGACCACTAAAACCATGAATCATGGTTGTTCCTATTTTTTTACTTTTTCCATTTTTTTACTAAGTCGATGTCTCTCGCAGCCTACAAACGCGACGGCAAAAAAGCTGGAGCTGGTCAGAACATCCACAACTGTGACTTCAAACTGCCTCCTCCAGCGGGTAAGGTGTGTGACGTGGACATCAGCGCCTGGGGCCCTTGTGTTGAGGACAACAACTTCGCCTACCACAAGTCCACGCCCTGCATCTTCTTGAAGCTGAACAAGATCTTCGGATGGAAGCCCCACTACTATAACAGCTCCGACAGCTTGCCCGTCGACATGCCTGATGACCTGAAGGAGCACATCAGGAATATGACGGCGTATGATAAGAATTATGTAAGTATACTTCCATTTTGGGTACATTTGTGTTTGCGTGAGAAACAGACTTTAAATAATTACCTATGTAGGTTGAGTACAGTTTCTCGCTAAAGATTTTAGCAATAATTTTCCAAGATTTTCACACCACTATTTATTTGTAACTAGCTGACCCGGCGAACTTTGTTCCGCCTTAATGGCAATAAATAACGGGATAAAAAGTATCCTATGTCCTTCTCCTGGCTCTAAACTACCTCCCTGACAATTTTCAGCTAAATCGGTTCAGCCGTTCTTGAGTTATAAGCGAAGTAACTAACACGACTTTCTTTTATATATATAGATAGAAGATGTGACATGCAATAAACCATTTGAATTTGAAAAAAGATATTTGCTTGCTTTGTGTGTTCAAGTGCCAAAAGCGTAAATGCTAAGATAGATTTAGTGTATGCTTTCGGAATTTTATCTAATACGAGTATCTATCGACAAGCCCATTGTTTGGCTAAGCTAAATAATTAAAAGCTAGTGGATTCTCGTGCAAAGATTTATCAAGAAGTTTAAAAGACTGTCTTGTTCCACAAAATATAACAGAAGACAAACTCCATACTAAACGCGCTCGAGCCACGCACACATAGACACCGCTCCTAGCAAGACTGTCTTGGACGAATGCGAGCGCGACGCGTTGAGTCACGCGCCGGTCAACCGCCTGTGATATTATTTTGTTTTGCGAAATTGAGACTAATTGAAGTTGAATTCTGTTTAAACAGAATAAGTCGTATTATAATTGTTCGGTATTTGGTTGCTTAAACTCATCATTAAATACCGAATTTTCATTTTTTAAGTTACCAGTTGATTCGGGGAGGTAAGTTATTTTTTTTTTAATTTCAATTGAAATTGAAAGCCAACTCAATTATTAGGAATATCGAATTGTTTTAGAGAGGTTTTATGAATTATTGGATAACAAGCTTTTGCCCGCGGCTTCACCCGCGTGAAATTCAGTTTGTCAAAGATCGTCATAAATTATAGCCTATATGTTATTCTGGGTTATAAACNACGTGCATCTAGTGATCAAGATGCAAGGTAATACGACAGTGTCGAAGATATTATTTTGAATGTTTGACAAGGTGCGCGTGACCCTTTTAAATACAAAGGGCCGATTAAACAGTCGCTCATTCGCATTCTCTCAACTATCCTGAGTGAAAAACTGACTGATACAAAGACACTCTCCAATTCAAGCCCACCAAAGAGGGTTGATGATGTTTCTCTTTATTTCCCTCATCATTCACTCACAAGTTATTCAAACCATTCCTTAAACGCTACTTCGATAGCTTTTTTATTCCCGAGTGCTTAGATAGAATTCAGTCAGTCAAATGTCTTCTATTGGTCTTTATGGTCTCACTTGTGTATTGTTCCGTTGTATTATCGGTCATTCTCACGATTAGGCGTTCTCAGCCTAATTACCATATTATTTTTGAAATTTGGCTTAAATGACTTAAACGCATTTAAATATGAAACACATGAAAAGTACGAATTTAACAATCGTTAAGGCGTCAAATTATTCCAAGCGGTTTTCTCGTAAATGGGACCCAAAAATTTTATGGTCACGGTAATTAGATAAGGCTAATACTTAATCTAACGGTAATTAGAAAAAATATGTAAAATAGCAAGAAAACAATATCTTGCATTGATAAATTTGTATATAAATATATAGCGTCATAAAAAACGCTGTAGGTACACTTAATAACCCTTTGAAAAAAGGAAAACACTCATTTCTATTATTTATTGTATCAAGATATTTTCAGTATACTGCAATAATCGAGGCTATAACAGGAACACTTAGTTTCGGCCAGAAGGGGCTACGTGTCACATTTCATCAGAATCTTAATCATCATTTATTTGATTTCAATGTGGTACAAACGATTTAACGTACAGATAATGGATCAGGAGATCTCACAAATTTGATTTTTCGGATATGCATATACCGAAAAATTAATTAATGATATAAGTGATTTTTCCTCTTTTTAATCTATCTGCGATAAGCCGTCACCCATTATCAGATTAAATTGAATTTGTAATAATGACAGTTCCAGCTCAGCATATCCCATGATTTGTCACCTCGATTCTTTTACAATAAGTTTTCAGATTGATGCTATTCGCTTTCTCCTGAGCCTAAATGCAGAATTCTTAGAATTTAGAAGGGATGCAGCAAATAGATTGCATGAAGGTCTAGTCTTTGGTTGTAAGCTTTACAGGATTTTCCACACCCTCTTTGACGTTTGGTATCACTTCAGTGGACTTTGTAAACCAAGGTGCACAGCTCAAGATTTTTAAAACTTTATTTTGAAAACGTTAAAGTATTTCTACATTTGCGAGGCTAAGTCGATGCCATGTCTACATGGGTTTTAGGATCCATTTGTATATAGTTTGTTCTCCAAGCTTCTTCTGTCCAGTACCCATTGCATATCACGAAGTTTTTTCTATGCATAACAAAGCAGGTAGGATGCAGTTTAGGATGGTACAAAGTGCCTATACACTCTTGCCTTGAAAAGTCCCATTGTCTGTTGATTGGTTCTCTTTTGTTCTTAATGTGATCACGCCAGGTAAGTGTTACTGTTGGAAAATCTCATCTTCTTAGGGCAAAGGTATTATGGATAGATNTGTCTTACTACAACGTATGAAGGCCAAAGTACTGAATCTATTTAAATTAACAACGTGGATCTACCTTCAAAAATCGAGTATAAAAATAAGGACATGGTAAATAGAAAAATTGAAAACCAAAGATATGGTAATTATACTCTTACGCAATTTATCGACGGTACGCCAACGCAATAGACGTCTACTTGCTAACAGGTCTTAGAACTAACTAAGGGCTCGCGCCGCGCGCGTAAATGATGTGTCAAATATTATTATTTAGGCTTGTGTGCCCAAAAACAGAAAACGTCACGGGAATTAGGACTTTCGCTCGGACAAGCAGTTTTTTAATTCTAATTATTTACAGAATGGTTCTATTGAATAGATATTTTGCTATGTGTAAGACAATCTTTTGTACTCTTTAAAATGTTAAATGGAGTAAACCAAATCTATACGACATAAAAATTACAGCCAAGTTTTAACATTAAGTCGGTGTGCGGACGCGTAACGGTAATTAGAGAACAGAGGTTCATGAAATTAATTAAGTCACAAATACTTAAAATAGAGGCCTATGATTTAATGCACAACTGGATGGGGTTGTTAAGTAACATATAAAAATACTTGCATGTCTCTAATTTGTCATTTTTAACGATTTAACAGCCCGGACACGTAAAAACTAGCTCATCTGAGAATGGCCGTTATCATTGAAGTGATTTTCTCTGAATCACAGCTTAGTTTAGTTTAGTTCCTATTATTATTTGAAGTTAATCTTATTATGCCAAAACCATTCACTCAATTTTAATGCCTACAAGCCATTATTTCTTTACTTTACCAGCTGTCGGTACTAGCAAATTAACTTATCGATGTCTGAGCATCAGTTGATTGTTTGGGATGTCTGTGATATTTAAACAGACACCTCATTATAGCAAGACGCTATTTATAAATCTGTTGAGGATCTTACCACGAGGGACTAACGGGTCTATTAGTTATTTGTGCAATACAAATTACTAATATTCTATTGGTTTTTCAATGGCTAAGATGACAGCTAGTCGATGACAGAAAAAGCATTGATTAGCATCTCCAGCTTGACTGAGATGTCTGATCATTCGTACAGACACCTCACAAGACAAGACAAGACAAGAGCAAGACGCTATCAATCTGTTGAGGAATTGAGACAGTCAGCTACTTATTCCGTGTTAATATTGGTTTACTCAATGGCTGAAAAGCCGAGCGAGTCGATGACAGTAAAAGCATTGATTAGCATCACCAGCTAGAGTGGAATGTTTGTGATATTTATCAGACACCTCACTAGAGCAAGACGCTATCAATCTGTTGAGGACTGAGTCAGTCAGTCAATGGCTATGATGACGAATCGATGTCCAAGTTGAAAGGCCGAGGCGATAATCGGCAATGGTTGCTTGTTCAGTCAATGGATTCCTGAGACGGTCAGCTGGTCGAAGGCTGGGTTCGGTGGGTGAGGTGTGGGTGGTGGGTGGGTTCTAGTCAGTCCGGCTAGCGAGTCAACAGGCTGGCGGGCAGGGGGCCGTTTAGCCGCGGTCCACCATCAGCTCGAAGTGAACCGAGCCGCGCCGCTCGTAGCGGTCGTATTGGATGTTCTTCGCCCATGCTTTGCACTCGATGTTGATTAAAACACCCGCTGGAAAGTGAAAAGTTGGAGTTTAGATAATTTAGATGACGCGCTAATAAAAGCATACAAGCGAACATGTTACTGGAAAATTCATCAGTTTTCTAAGCTTAGATTCTGAAGGGTACTAATTCCTTAAGGTTGCGGATACTTACTCCTGGGCTTCTCGAAGAGCACAGCGACCAGGGGGCTCAGGTAGCCCTCTTTGTTGGTGAAGGGGTAGTAGAAGGCCGGGAAGCCTCGTCGCGGGATGTACTGCACCGGGCCGATGTTCTCCACGTCAGCAGGATTCTCACCTTCGCAGGACACCCACACGGTGTTTGCTTCTGGTTTGCCAGACTGGAATAAACAGCACTCTTGAGATTCTCCTCTCCATAATCGAATAGATCATCATTTCAGCCATAGGACGTCCACTGCTGAACATAGGCATCCCTTAATGACTTCCACATCGCATAGTTGGTAGCGGCCTGCATGTAGCGCCTTCCTCCAACCTTTATTAGGTTTATCAGGATCAAATTGATAATATAACTAATATGATAAAATACAATAAGCTTGTACGAGTAAGTTATAATACTTACGACCATCTTGATGTGCTGTTTCAGGTCATCAGGCATGTTGGAGGGGACATCCTCGGTGCTGTTGTATGGGTCGGGTACCCAGTTGAAGATCTGGAAATAGTCATGGAGTTTATCACTTGTAAGTCGCTTTTGCCTTATATTTTTGTCTAAGTATTACAGCTAGAAGTTCAGCAACAATAAGATAGGATGTAGGCCTAGAAGATAGCGATAGAACTTAATAATCGAGATGTTGTGTTATATTAGTTACAGTGCCAAATAGCATTGCTTGTTGAAGTAATAACTGAATTAGATATTCCTGATATGATATCTAATTCGATGATTTAGAGAGAGCTCACGATGGCCAAAATATCTGATAAGGAGTTCCTTTTCTACTTGATCAAAGAGATTTATTTTATTTTATTTCTATTTTTTTGTTAGGAAAACAAACAGCATTCTATAACACATATAGAGTTACCAATTAAACTTCACATTTGCCAAAATAGTTTTCACAAATAGTTTATACATAGGTATCGTTTTTAAAAATTGAGTAAACAGAAACAGAAAAAGAAAATAATTTTTTTAGATTCTATGTTAAATATACTATGACTTGGCAATTAATTTAAACTCGAAATAAGATGATGGCCATAAAGTCTAATAAGAAGAAAAATCTACTTGATCTAAGAGAAGAATGTTAATTTTGGATGCTAATTAACCTTATTGAGCTTCAAGAACACGCAAGGGCCGGCCTCCTCGTAGTTGTACTGGTTGGCAGAAGTGCAGGGGTGGAAGTCGTCGACGGGGACGTCGCAGACCTGCTTCTCGCCCAGGTCTCGGGAGCCGGTGTTGGGGTTGCAGGCCACGCGGTTCTCCGCTCCAGTCGCCTCGCCACTGCCGCTGCCCTTCTTGCGGTATTCTGGAGGAGATAAGGAAAAGCTGAATGGTGATGTTTTTTTAAGAACAAGGCAGGTATGTGACTGCAATCTATGCAAGTGTTCAAGTGAGTACTGTGAAGTTGGTTTTTATAGGCAAATGACTGGTACACAGCAGTACGAACACGTAAAGTTGCAAGATCATAAATGCATAAGATCGTCAACTTCTAGCAATCAGAAAAATTAAGTTGGTTGTCCTAAATCGCACCAAGTAGGTAATGTAGGTATTACAGCTTAGGTAGCAGATTACAAAAGTGATTCCATTTCAGCTGCGAAGAAAAAGAAAATGAAGTTCTTTCTTCATGGGAAATAATAATAGGACTCTTCATACTACAAGTCGTCGTCGAATCGAATGACGTCCACTGCTGGACAAAGGCCTCCCCCAAGGATTTCCACAAAGAATAGTCCTGCGCCGCCCGCATCCAGGCAACTTCCAAGACCATCACCAGAACGTCGGTCCACTTAGTGGGAGGCCTGCCCACACTACGTCTTCCGGTTCGTGGTCGCCACTCGAGAACTTTTCTGCCCCAGCGGCCATCAGCTCTGCGAGCTACTACTACTACGAGTAAAACACAAGAACCTAGCAAGAAAACAGTAAGTTCCACTCACGGTCCAGGTACTCATCGATGATCTTGGCCCACTTCAGCACGGAGCCCTTGTCGTTGGCCCGGTAGTAGATCAGCGTGCTCTCCACGTTGGCCGAGTCGGGCATGGGTCGGAAGCCCAGACCTGGTGAAGGAAAACCAGTTCATGAGTTAAATAAGTCTAATCATTCTAATTCTAGCTTCTCTTTTTTTAATTATATTGATTTTATGAGACTCTAATAAGTGTCTTTACGAATACATTAATTAACTATGACTAAAATGTTTCGATAATTAATATTATGCAACGATCAAATTGAAAACCTCCTCCTTTTTGGAATTCCGTTAAAAAATAGATGTCTCATGCTGCGACTACACCAAAATTATTTTTTGCGTGAAGTAAAATCTCTTTAGTGGAAACGATCTAGATCGTCGGACTAGTCCAGCAGAATAAGGTTTTAGACAATAAATACTTTTCTTACCTGGGTTGTTGCCAATGAGTGAGCCCTCCAGCTGCCACTTGGGCATCTTGGAGTCCAGGGTCTGGTAGAAGATGGCCAGCATGGCCGCGAAGAAGCCCACCAGGATGGCATAGAAGATTAGGTAGAATAGTAGAATTTTAGCTGTGGACAATAAAATGCATAAGTTAGGTAATTAACTTAATTAACGATTGAAAATGCATCTTAAGATAGTATATTTAACTAGCGGTGCCCGCGACTTCGTATGCATGAAAAACCCTTATCACCCAGGGGTATGAAATAGTTTACGTCCTAATTTCGCCAATCGGTCAAGCAAGTTTCGGATGAGTTTTGTTGCAAACACTGTGACATGATTATATTTATACATATTTGGTGAATTTGGAAATGTATACATTGTAGAGATTTTTAAATTCACCAAAAATGCTAAAAATTGAATAGACTATATGAAATGTATCGCAACAATATCCTCTAAGAGTAGATGTACCTCTCGTTCGACTGCTAATTGCTGCAAGTGGTCAATGGGAGTTTCCTACGAATTGTTGGCGAACTGACCCGTTTTCGCTGCCTACGCGAAATTAGAGGAATTGATTGTTTTAGTATCATTACACATAGTTTGGGAGTTCAAGTTCACGTCTGTGAAGAAATAATTAAATGATGACAGAATCAATTTCAATGTAATCAAACAACCAAATGCAGTTGAAGTTATGCTGTCGCTTGTTCACATGACTGACATGTTCTCATGGCCAAAACAACGCCCCCCAATCCTTCAAATCACAAAGACTCGAATCCCCATCATCATCCTAGAGCTGTGCAGCCTTGGCCCAAATGCGTCTGTCTCGATTCGCGCACGCGCGCTAATCACCCCACTAATTATTATGAAACTGCACTAGTTAGTGCAGCCGGATTGTCCGCTAGGACCAATATAGAGCACCGCGAAATTTTCGAGTCAATTTAATAGGATATATTATTATATTGCTCTTAAAAGTGTGGTTAACTTCCACTGAAAATATAAAACACTTCTTTGTTTCGCGGAAGCGTAAAAATAAGCATTAATTATTAACTTACCCAGTTATTAATAAAAGTTACACCCTAGTTGAACTCTGGCTTAAATTGTCATTTAGTGTGGAAATGTCATTTTAATCCAGGGTCCATCCTAGGCGTAACTTTTTATTAATGGTGATTAAGGCGATTAGAGTCCTCAATGACCTTGAGCGTTTGACCTTCACGCTTCGCACAACACCCGCGCACCCCGCACGAAAACTCCGATTTGACACCGATCAAAAATACACGGGCATAGGTAGGTACAGAATAGAAGCTCTTTCTTCATACATTAGGTACTGCCTATTATTTTAAACTTGAATTGATGAACCTTGATTTCGATGTCATTCAACCCAGGCGCAAGTGATCGCCCGAAATGTTCTAAACTAGCGCACCATATACTAAGGTATTTATATTTAACAAAAATTACAAATCCATGAACATTTTGTATGGGATAATATTTTTTATTTTATTTTATTTAGCTTACAATGTATGTTGTGTGTAAAGTATGTTTGTTCGGGTGGAATTTTGCAAGCTGAATTAGTTAGACCCATTTCTTGACGACAACCGATTGAGTTAAAATTTCGGATAGTACCTACACATGCAATTCGGATAACAATGCAATATTATGATGACATGGAGCTGATCTGATGATAGAGCTGGAAAGTCAGTGACTCCATAGGAACTCCGGAATAAAACGACTCCATCGAGTTGAGGCTCGTTTGATTTGTATTTATTTATTTACATTAGGGTTTACATAGTTACGGTAAACTACTTTACAAATCACGAGTACCTACTTCAATTCTTTAGGTAAACAGGGTCTGATGATGGAGCTGGAATNTAATTTACATTATATGTTTTTTTTAGATTTGTCATTATCTTATTTTAGAAGTTAGAGGGGGGGGGGGGGACCAACTTTTTTCCACTTTGGAAGCGTCTGTCACGCAAACCATTCGGTTGAGAAAAAAAGTATTGTAGAAACCTCGATATAATTTTTAACGGACAGACAGACAGACATGACGAATCTATAAGGGTTCCGTTTTTTGCCATTTGGCTACGGAACCCTAAAAAGGAAAGACTAGGCCAGTCTAAACGCAACGTTAACCTATTAAATAATTAAAAACTTACTTTTGTCTAAGAAAATAGACTTTCAAGAATATTAATGCTTCAAAATCGAAACTCGAGAATTCTCGAGCTCCGGTAATTTTTTTCTCGTCTCGAATGAAGCCAAATTTCTCGAGTTTTCTCGAGTTCGAGAAAGCTCGAGCAGAAACCCTAAATGTTAGATAGATACTTACATCACTGCATTCATTTTCAAAGCTCTCATGGCCGCATATTTCATCGAACCATTTTTTCGATGCATTTTCATAAACTCAATCAGATGTCGTTATTTATGTCGGTATATATGCGTGAAATAAAGGGTATCCTTCCGTTTGGCCAAATTACTTTTCGCCAAATTTCACTTCGCAAACAACTTATCGCCAAAGTTTCATTTCCCAAATGAACTTTTAGCAACTGTACTTTTCGCAACTAATTCATTTGGTCAAATTATCATTTGGCCAAATTTTNCTTGTTCTTTCCAGTTGAACATGGTGTGGGTGTCATGCCTGGGCGAGAACCCGGCCGACCGGGAGAACATCGGGCCCATCACGTACATGCCCTACCGGGGCTTCCCTGGCTACTACTTCCCCTACACCAACCAGGAGGGCTACCTCAGCCCGCTAGTCGCAGTGCACTTGCAGAGGCCTAAGAGTTAGTACACTTACTCCTACCATTTTTGTTTCTTTACAACACACTTTCTTCACTACTCCATTCTCGGTGTCCACTCATTACTTAATATTACAATTTCAGAAGCCATATGAAACGGATTAAAGTAAAGGCATTCATTCATTTTTACTACATGTTTGTGTTAAATAATTAGTCTAGCTGAAATATACACAGTATCTTTCTTTGTCGGATACAGTCGACAATAATTTGACTATTAATTTAGATCCAACTGCTAAAGCAAACTCTCAAACTGCATACACAGTCCATTGACAATTCAATGACACAGTCCTGAAACTGTAAACTTACATTTCTGTGAACTAAAATTTCTTCTCATGACTTCACATGTCGCTTTCGTTATGACCTTACCTTCGATTTGTAAGACGCACATTAATTTATTTACACGTTTATATAAATAAAATTATTTAAACTTAACTGTTCTGTATTCCAGCGGGCATGCTGATCAACATGGAGTGCCGCGCGTGGGCGCACAACATCATGTACGACCGCCACGAGGGCATGGGCACCGTCCACATCGAGATCATGATCGAGTAGACCTTCACCAGGAGTAGGATGCGATACGATAAAATCTTATCGAGGTCTTGTCGATTTTAGACGATAGACGCTTGTCGTGTAATCATCATCATCATCATCTCAGCCATAGGACGTCCACTGCTGAACATAGGCCTCCCCCAATGCTTTCCATGTTACCCGGTTGGTAGCGGCCTGCGTCCAGCGCTTTCCTGTACCTCTAGTAGGAAAAACTTTCGAGTTAGTTTCGTTGCGTATTCAAAGTGTCATCGAAAAATTTTGTATGAAAAATTAAACAGCGCCCCCTAGGGCGGCTATAATATAGGGGGCGCTGTTTAATTTTTCATACAAAATTTTTCGATGACACTTTGAATACGCAACGAAACGAACTCGAAAGTTTTTCCTACTAGAGGTACTGCTACCTTTATGATGTCGTCGGTCCACCTTGTAGGTGGACGTCTCACGCTGCGTTTTCCGGTACGCGGCCTCCATTCCAGAACCTTGCTGCCACATCGGCCGTCAATTCTGCGTATGCCCATTGCCACTTCAGCTTGCTAATCCGTCGGGCTATGTCAGCGACTTGTCGTGTAAAGAAAAGATTATATCGTCACGCGCATCACAGCCTAACATTGTAGGCGTTTGTCGTCTAAGACCTTCGTTAAGATTTATCGTCACGTGCACCCTAGCCCGACAGACCTGCACCCGGCGACTAGCTTATAAAGACACTGCTGTTTTACACTTAGTCCGAGGTGACGTAGGAGAGAGATGAAACCGAAATTGGACATGGCGAAATTGTTTTTTTTTTTTTTCGTAGCTTTCTTGCAGATTTTTTTATTGATGAACTTAAAATATTCTACGAAAAATTCAGAATAGTATAAACGAAGACTGATCGCATGCTGAATTTCAGCTGGAAGTAGAAATAACAGAGCCTTTTATACTCAAAAAACCATGTGATGTAATATTATTGTAGCTCTATGATTTTTTTTATCATATTCTAAAATTAATTGTCTAAGGGTGCAGTAGAGCAGATGCAAAGAAGATTCATTAGGCAGAAGCATGGATGGAAGTACAAAATCTAAACGATATGTATGTACTTCCCAATGTACCTACTACATTATTTTACTATGCTGCTTAATGACGTAATAGTCCAAAGAACAAAGGCATTGTTACCAAAAGTTAATTCCTTACCAAAGAACAAGTTTGCTTCATAGAGGTAAGTATTTGTTTCATTTGAAAAATGCCTTTCAAAGGGTTAAGTATTAAATTATTTTATGAATGTGGAATTAATGTTTTCAAGAGTGAGATTACCTTGTAAATTATTATGAAAGGAATGATTAAATTTAGTAAGAAATATACTCGTTTATTTTATTTCAACATTGTTATATCATTCATGAAAATATTGTCAATTGAAACTCGAATTTTCATTGATCAACACTGATTTATTCATTCATCTTAAATACAACACAAAGTCCTCGTATTACAAAGCACAATAGATATTTGACTTTCAACATTTCTTCCCTAATAGGTAGTGTTTATTTTTCATTAGTCTTTCATTTACTTAGGTTAATGTAAACATTATCACTGATATGTCATCATTTGGTTAACATGGTATGGTTTTATTAAGTTATTCATAATGTAGAAATGTAAGTTTCAATATAAAAATATATGAAAGTTGCATTTTAATCATAGGCCTAAAAGTGGCATGGGATATCAATGTATCCCATTACGAGAGTAATAGTATCTAAGCATTTCATATTCACTTCTTAATTCAATGTGACTAGATCTAAAAACTAAGGGCCTATTCTCACGATTCCTGAAAAAGTTTTAATTACATAATTTCGCTCATGTGTCAGATATCTTAACCTAGTGAAAATTAGGCCCTCAATCTATTAAGTACTTAGGTCCATTCGTTTGGCTGTACGGCCTATTGACGCACTTCCAAAACTGTTCAAAATTATACTTAAACATTATCTAAAAAAAAGTTTTCCGAATTTTCCCTGAAAGTGGCTTAGTATTATGATTTTATTTTCTGTCTATTATAATATAAAATGTGTAATAGAGAGTTCTTCCTAAACGGTGGTGATGTTAACCGGTTCTGGAGTTTTGTCGATCATGATTTCCAGGTGGGTGGATCCGAGCCGCTCCTTAAGGCTCTCGGTGTAGACGATGTTCTTCGCCCACGCCCTGCAGCGGATGTTTATTATCTGCCCCACTGAAACATTGGAAATACACCGTAATAAAAATCTGAAACATACAGGCTGTCCCAGAATGGGTGAATCAAACTGCTAGGGGAGGTAGCTCTACTAATGTACTATTTTTTTAAAATAAAGTGCTCTAAACTCGAAATCTAGTCCGTATTTTCAAAAGTTTGTTTACAAATAAACGAAGCGATCATGTACAATTAATATTAGTAAGAAAAAAATACAAATAAACTCCAAACGCAGCAATTATAGCCAGATACTTAAGCAAAGCTGATTTATTTTCAGTTATTCAAATATTTTTTGTTTCCTTTTGCGCTTTATTTTTTTAGGGATAGTACATTAGTAGAGCTACCTCCCCTAGCAGTTTGATTCACCCATTCTGGGACACCCTGTATAAGAGCTTTGCCAGTAAGCTCGTTATAGTAAACACGTAAACAAATCTTGTGCCAGTAACGTGTTTTATACTGACGCGTCTGAAAGCTCATGGAAAGCTCTTATTATAATATTTGCGCATCACATGTTTTAAGGAATGAGTCAAAAAACATTACACGAACTACACAAAGCCATGTATTATTTTAAATAGTAAGAAAAACTGTTACAAATCCTTAGATGCGGACAGCACAAGACCGAATGTGGAAATTCTTGGAGGAATCCAGCAGTGGACGTCGTTTGGTTGCAAGTTGTTATACGATTATTTAGTCTGTTATTGGTTTACTGTATGTTTTCCGAATAAAATAAAATGAAATAAAATAAATGAAACGCAAAAGTCTGGAAACGAATAACAAAGTGAGAAAGTAACTACGCAAAAACAACTGTGATACTTACACGCTGGCTTCTCCAGCTGGACAGCGACCAGCGGGCTCAGGTAGCCAGGGGTGTTGTCATACGGGAAGAACACTTCAGGGACCCCTGGGTACGGGTAGTACTTCAGCGGACCCAGGGCTTCCACGTCCGCAGGTCTCTCCCCCATACACGTCAGCCACACGCTGCGGCGCTGGAATTCATATTTTTATATGTTCTAAATTACAGTAGCCAAAGCAGAAAACACTGTTTATAAAAGTGACCTGTTTTCTTATAAGGAACATTTCTTATTTTAATTTAATAGATTTTTATAAAAGAAAATTCCGGAAAAGCGGTAAACTTACTCGTTCTGGCGTTGTGTTATTGATGAAGTTTTTAATGTAAGGAGGCATGTTCTGAGGCAAATCCCCAGGATCGTCGTAGAAGATTGGTTTCCAGTCATATAACTGAAAATGTAAAACGTATTATAATTACTTAAGAAATATTTTCCAATTTTATTGTGTGATGCCTCAGTAACCTAAAGTGGGCGCTTTCTCATCGTTGTGAGGTCTAAACTAGGGGTTGGGCACAACATACCAACATTCGCGCTCCTATAGGATAGTTTCTGCTGATGCCCTGACTGGATCCACACGCTTGCTATGGTATGTCCACTGACGAAACATGAGTGAATCTATCGGCTCTAGCTGGACTTTTAAGAGGTCTGAATGAGTGCTTCACCTTTCTAGAGAGCCTCACATAATTCACAGACTCGCGAAATCATCTCATAATAAGAAGGTTTTGTGACTACATTTGTTCAGCCGGCTCTCACCCTGTTAAGCTTGATGATGATGCACGGAGTCCCTTGGTCGAAGCCGTAGTTGTTCTCCTTGGTGCAGGGCCCGAACTGGTTGACCACGTCGAAAGCGCACACTTCCTCCCGCGGAGGCTTCATGGTGCCACACTCGCGCTGGTTCACATCCTACGTAATATTTCAGCTCTCACCCTGTTCAGTTTGATGATGATGCATGGAGTCCCTTGGTCGAAGCCGTAGTTGTTCTCCTTGGTGCAGGGCCCGAACTGGCTGACCACGTCAAAGGCGCACACCTCTTCCCGCGGAGGCTTCATGGCGCCACACTCGCGCTGGTTCACACCCTGGTTGATTAGCAGGCTTTTGTTGCGGTATGCTGAAAGATAAACAAGAATATTATAAAGTATTAACGTAACTTTCGACCTACCTACAAACAAGGGACAGATGTCCGAGAGAGATAGTCATAGTCATCATTCATCATCAGGTCAGGCAGGCACCACTGCGACCGCTCTCTTCATAGAAGCAAATAGAGATTTTGGCCTCCACTCCCCACTATTAATTTGCACTAACACAGATTTAAACAATTAAACCAACACATAAAATCATGGAGGAGGCAGACTTGGCCTGTTTTACTTGGCGAATCTTTGCTCTCCTTTTCTACCTAAGTTACTCCTAAAAATGACGATTAAACAAGCAACTCACGCGCAAGAAACTCGTTGATATTGTCGACATACTTCTTCACCTGCGTGGAGTTGGACTGGTCGTACCAGATCAGCGCTCCCTCTTCGAAGAGCAGCGGTCTGTGGCCCATGCCTGGGTTATTGCCTGAAGAAATCAACATAGAATAAAAAACATTAGAAATTGGTAATTTTATTTTAAAGTAGGTAGGTACTTGAAAAATGTTACTTTAGTTTTCTTTTTCATTCTAGTGATTTTAGCCACGTTTTGTTTCCAATCTGAAGTTGCTAAAGTTGCAAGTGCCAACAGTTAAGAGCGGTATGAACTTAGCCGCGCACGATATTTTCATTTCATAATGGCGCCATGTTTTACGCAGCAACGCTAATTATTAAAATTGTTTCTTTTTCTTTTTTATTTAATGTGCTAATTTAACAAGTTGAAGTCTAACAGTATTTTGGAATACACAACGTGCTCTCTGTGAATACACTGAATCACTGAACGTAAGGTAGGTACCTAATTATTTTACATTTTTAGGTTAGGTTTTTTTAAATTAAAAAAGACGGGTACCTAGTCAGTCTTTTCAGAATGTTGTTGACAGTTAGGTACTTATTCGTCAAAAACCGCGTCAGGCTTTAGTCTTATTGCTGTAGTTATTGAAGGCAATAATAAAATTATTAGTAACCTTTACTGCTAAACGTGATTCGTTTAGGTAATTGTGCTTTCTCTTACCGATGATGGAGTCGGCGAGTGTGAAGTATGGGATCCGGTCGTCCATGGTGGCCAGCAGCCCACACATGCAGATGGAGAAGAAGATGATGATGCAGATATACATCACCAGGTATATGAGCCCTATTACACCTGGAACAAGTTATTTCATCTATTTCTTCCTTGTTTGACACTTAATTTGTGACTGGACTACGAGATGCCCTTACGAACAAATAACGTTCTCGTTAGTATGATAATTTGTAATGGATTAATTAGCATTAATCATTAGCTTGCGAAATCATAATTAATTAGCAATAATTAAATAGTTGCGAAATTAATGGTAAGCGTATTATAAAAATAATATAATTTCACAAAGCATTCACTATTTCGCAATTAGTACGTATGATTAGCATTTTCCATATTCTTTGAAATTTCATATTATCATTTTTCATAATTATTGTACCTATGAAATTTCATATTGACATAGCATTTAGCATGCTAAGATATGAAATCGCATGCTAATAAAAAACTAAGAAATAAAAAAGTGTATTAATCATTACTTACATAATCTTTTCTTTTGTATGAAAAATAAAATAGCGCCGCTACAGTACCATTCGTGCTTATGACAATGTGCTAAACATTTTTAGGTTCAATTAAATCTAAATAATTAACCTAGGCGCAGACCATCGATTTTTAGTTGGCCGAAAGTTGGGCCCGATTTTAATTTGTATGAAGAATCGGCCAAATCAAATCGTGTAATGTGCGCACTTCCATACATGCCCATACTTATTAAGAGCCCGACTAAACTATCGGCCGACAAAAAATCGGTGTTCTGCGCCTAAGCTTAGTTTCTATTCTAATGCATGCTTACAATTTATTTGGCAGGTAAGTAGGTTCCTAGGGTGTAGACATCCGCTACGAACAGATTTTACGAAACTCCACCTCTAAGGGGGTAAAACGATATCCACGCGTGCGAAGTCGCGGGCGGCCGATAGTTATTCTTATTATAAAAGGAAACATCCCATGCCAATGCCTGTATTAACTCCACAAAGTGTTTATTTCACTAACAAACAGCCGTCAATAAGTAAATTATCCACATCATAGTGCTATTATCGCCTCATATAAAGCGCAAACACGACACTGCGCGCGCGCAGCAGGCGCTAAATAGACCACAACGATTGCTGTGTGTGGCTTAATAATATTGTTCTATGTGGCCAGTGGTAATTTAAACCCTGTTTAAGGCTGTGATAACACAATCTCATTTTTATGCATAAAAGTGTACTCTCGCTGGAAAAGTCGTTCATGAGAGCATTCTAGTGAATGTCCTATGACTGAAAACTGAAATGATAATGATGACGATGAAGCCCTTTTGAGGGCACACGACCTACCACCAGTTCGCGCCAAAATTGGCTGGTGCTGGAATGAAATGGCGAAAGAAACTCAGTCACCATTCATTTGTCAGAGCAAGTGCAGACAGATGAATCATATTTTTTTTAAATCGCGAGATTTCGCGAACCCTAGACTCGAGGTGAAACCGGTTAGTAACATCTCGCAAAAATATTGAATTTCGATCAGAATAAATATAGCGGCCTCATCCCAAATATTTTATAGATTTGAGACTTCCAAATCCACAATTCCAGGTCACGGTCTATGATGGAGTATGTACATGGCATAAACAAACAAACAGTAAAGCGCGCGAATGGATTCGCCGAAATAGCACCGGCTTACACTCCGTGACTGTGTGCGCTTAGGTCCACGGCAAACTGCGGTCCACTTTTAATTTGCAGGGAAAAAGCTTATTTGGTAGAAACAAGACAAAACAAAAGAGGGTCAGGCTCTATTTCGACGAAGCACGCAGCGTAGTGGTGGAAATTGTCGTTTCTACCGAATGTTATAACAACTCTATGCTTTTAAACCAGTAACAAATGCAGTTGGTTCGTTGGTTGCAGTCTCGGGAACATAGAGTTCTAAT